GGTTCTGTGCTGCTTTCTTCCATAGCGCAGTAACTATTGAAGCAGAGGTCGATGTACTGCTCCAGTTGTTCCAGCGTTGTAGAGTGAATCCGTTTTCTTGAAAAGAAAATCTGCGGTTCCAGTAAGGTAGATGAGTGATTAACTTTGTTTGTTTATTTGCAGTCTAGTTGTCGGCTAGCGCCATTTTGGTCTCGCACCGTCTCGCGATAGTCTCGTTCACAGGCGCATGTCAAGTCAAAAACTATACTTGACCGGTGATCCTTTCATTGTGCCTTTCCCATCTGATTTTGTGTAAGTCTTTTCTTCCCAGAACCCTTGACACAAATGCTCAAATCCTTTCTAAGCGTCTGACAAAATGATTGGTGTGTTTCATATGAAGCGGAGTCCGTAGGTCAATAACCCTCATTGCTCCTATCAAGTGACACTTCCTTGTTAAAATGATTCTCAAGATTCTGGCAGTAATTGTAGACGCAGCTATTCCCACAGAAGCCGATACAGTACCAAAATCCTCTCACTTTATCCAATTTCACTGGGAAAAATCCTCACCTCATTATTTTGTTTAATCCTGGCCAGATGCCTACGTATCAAGCTCCGAGACCGAACCTGCGTCCAACCACTTCCACTTTTATCTTCATGCTGTTATTACGAGCTGTTTACAGAGACAATGGATTGGGAACGAACCATCTCGGACTCTGAGGAGCACAGGGACTGGCCTCCTGCTGGGGCCCAGAGTCAGGACTAAATATGGGAATTCAGCGTTTCAGATTCATGCAGCTAAAATCTAGAAGTTTCACTTTCCCAGTCTTTGCAAGGGTATGAGACAGGCTTCTACTCCAGACAATGACAATGACAGAAAACAGTTCTGTTTATCTGTGCATTCAACTGAAGGATTGTGTCTTTCTTTACTCTTTTGAACCTTTTTACATTCACTCCTTGAAGAAAGCAATTTCATTGTTCATTTTTGGGATTTTCTAACATGTTCGACTCTAATTATACTTGTTTTTGTTTTTTTTACAATATATATATATTTTTTTTTTTTTTAACCCCTAAATATATATATAAAAAATGTTTTAACCCCTAGGTTTTTTTCTATTATGTTAGGTCTTTACCAAATGGTTGAGATGCAGTTTGTTGGTAAAGGTGCCTAAAACCAAGTAAGATCCCCCAAAGATGTACATTTCAGTTCCAAGTAGAATATTGACTCTAGGTGATCTACCAAATTGGAGAGAAAACCCTTAAAGGGTAATTGTACTGTGATTATTTTAGGATTTATTCATTTTCTTGCTTTGTTATGGACTTTTGCGGTGCCTTGTGTATGAACTGTGCTATACAAATAAACTTGCCTTTCGTTGACGAGCTCATCTGCTCGTCCTGTATCTCTGCAGACGGAGCGTGGCCTTGATCCTCAGCAGAGCTACTGTCAGCGATGACACAACAGACACTGTAATGTTTATGCACAGAGGGGAAAGGGCGAGGCCTATACTGTCAGAAGCAGGAAGCAGCGCCCTTATTTGGTTTGTTTGAGTTACAAGCTGTGTACGTGTTCAGTATAGATGGGGCTTGGAAAGAGTTCAAAGAGATAGCTGTAATATTCCAGTGTTATCATGTTTTTATAAAAGTTATTCTTTATTTGTATAGCATCTTGCACAGACAGACATAAGGCCCTATGTCTGTATACTAAAGGGCGATGTGGTGGCTGAATGGATAGCACTCTCGCTTCTCAGCAAGAAGGTCCTGAGTTCAAACAGGGCCTTTCTTAGTTGAGTTTCTGCAAACTCCACTCAGTGCACTGGCTTCCTGTGACTCTGAGAATAGACTTTAAAGCAAATCTGCTTGTGGACAATTCTCTCCATTGATGTACGATACAAATAAAGTTGCCTTTCGAGTAGACGGTGCTTAATGACACAGGAGGGCTTGACAACCTTCCTGTGTGTGTATGTAGGGGTTTGTGTGTGTTGGTTAGTTCAATTTGTTTCAAACCTGCAGAACACAGTCTCACATATCTTGACCCTAATACAATATAAGTTTGATACAGTGCAGTACATTCCGTAATACAACACCCCAATGAATGAATGTGTGAGTGTGTGTGTGTGTGTGTGTGTGTGTGTGTGTGTGTGTGTGTGTGTGTGAGTGTGAGTGTGAGTGAGTGAGAGAGTGAGAGAGTGAGAGAGTGAGAGAGAGATAGAGAGTGAGAGAGTGAGAGAGAGATAGAGAGTGAGAGAGAGAGAGAGAGAGAGAGAGAGAGAGAGAGAGAGAGAGAGAGAGAGAGAGAGAGAGAGAGAGAGAGAGAGGAGAGAGAGAGAGAGAGAGAGAGAGAGAGAGAGAGAGAGAGAGAGAGAGAGAGAGAGAGAGAGAGAGAGAAGGTTGATCTTTGGAGCTGGGTTTAAATCAGCAGATGAAAGCCCTGTATCTCCGTGAGTCTTCTCCCGCTGCGGTGACAGGAAACAGGTCCAGGACGTGGCTTGGGTTCCCCTTAAATATCACACAGGAGTCCATTTCAAACATGGCACAAAACTCAAAACAGAGGAAAACCAGGCCAATGTTATGTCACTAATTTACCATAATTCCACAGATTGCTGGTTCACAGGCGAGTCCGTTTGCAGGAGGGGGGTTAAAGTTTTGCATTCACTGAAAAATAACTTCAGATCCAACACAATTATGAGCATTCACGTTGACGAGCAAACATTAAACAGCACCAACAAAGCTTTGTCAACAATGATTTTGATCAAATATACAAAGGGTTCAGAGCCGGGGAAGGATTTTTGAAAAACTGTAGCTGAGACCGACTTTAAATAAATTGTGCATAGTTTAAGCATATAAGAGAGGCACGCAAAGAAATACATGCAAGAAGGAGGTTATTTTTTGTAATTCATTTTTTGACCCAAAGTTTGTAAGGTATTGTTGAGGAAGGAGATGTTTGCGAATGTTTTGGTGAGTGCCGTTTTGGATGTGTTTTTGTTTGTTTTCTGTCTGTAATTCATTTTTTTTCTGTTGCTTTTGTTGTGTTTGTTTGTGTACAGTATGTTGGTGTTTTATTATTTAATTTTTTTGTCTAATGAGTGTCTAATAAGCGCGATACTATATTATTATTAAGTATTTTCTAACGTTTAAACTTGTTTTCTTGCAATAATCTTCATCAAAATCAAATCCACTTTGTTTATAACACATTTTATAAAACCACGTTTCCAAAATGCAGCACAGATAAACGCAACACATTAAAATATACAAGTCTGCCAGCTTTAAATAAAATCAATAACAATAAAATAAAAACATAAATATACAATATACAATGGAGGACCACACAACTCATGCTGCGTTAAAAGCCAGAGAGTAAAAGCGGGTCTTAAAACATCCAATGATAATCCAAAAAATAATGTTGCAATGTTTCTTGGCAATTATTTTGAGGGGAAATACAGCTCATGCAGACACATTAAGCAAGTGTAAAAGCAGAGACTCAAGTTTCAAAGTGGCGTTAAAGCAGAGTGATGTGAATGTTCTGCTCAGTCGAAGTTGGACCGATGTGAACGAGAGCTGCATCTGGATAACTGAACGTGCAGCCCCATAACTGACTCTGAACTTGTCATTTCCACTTGTGTTCCTGTGAGAGCTGTTCATGAGCGCATAAAAAGACACTTTTCACCTTTTGCAAAACAAACTTTCCACTGGGACCGCTTTAGGACTTTGTTTATGTTACTTGTGGGAATGTTATAGGTTTGGTTCTAATGAGACTTTGGCCCAAACAGATGGTGACTTTTGTAGCTATTGGCAGCAAGAAAACCAAAGGTGAATACGTTTGTTTATCTGGTTTAATGAGCATTACTTTGCTGTATGTAATTGTGGATTTTATACAATCATGGGGCTGAGTGCAAGAGTTGTACAGTAGTCGATCCATCAATCAAAATGTATTTGTATAGCACAGTTCACTCAAAATGCTTCTCAAAGTGCTTCACATTGACAACATTTAAAAGCAGCAATCAGAAAAGTAAACTTCAATTAGCCAGGGTATAGGGGTCTGTCTCACTTCTTCAGGAATATTGTTCCATTTTAAGATTAGGATTAAGAGAGACTTTATTCGTCCCACAGTTTAGGAATTTCAGTGTTGCATCACAAGTTGCAGACAGTAGGAATAAGGGGCACACAGCACAAGAAAAATGAACTCTATACTAAAATAATATAAAATTAAATTAAATCTATTACTCGAGCATAAAAAGAAGCTGTATAAAATCTCTTTGTTTAGCATAATAAGGAAAGATGTCTAAAATCTCCAATATTGGTTTTATATAGTACAGAGAGTGGTGGTAAGGTACTACTTATTTACTACTACTAAGATTACTTTTAAGTAGCTCTGAAACAGTTGTTGTTTTGTGCTTAACAATTGTTATTTTTCTTGATTTTATCTGCCTGAGATGTTGCTGCAGTACAGTGCTCATGGTTTTGCCCTGGTTCAGACCAGAGTGGAGAGGAATAAATATTTCCATCCATCGATCTTCTTCTCCTTGATCAATTTCTGGGTCAGAGGATGGCAGTCAGAGCTGCACCCAGTACACAGAGCACCAGTCCCTCACTGATCCTGCTGCAGGTGGTGAGTCCACAGGAGGATGGCTGCTCTGTCAGTGACTCCACAGCCTTGATCTTTCAACGGGGGCTTCAGGGAAAGTGGGGTGTTAAGTGTCTTGCCCAAGGACACAACGACAGCGGACATCAGTGAGAGTCGGTGGAGAAGGTCTCACAGTGGGCTCAAAACCCACGACCTTCAGGCTCAAAGGCCAACGCTCTACCAACTGAGCCACTGTCGCCCACACTTTAAATATTTTTTTATGAACAAAATGAGTCCAGCCGCTTGGATTGAAGCAAAATCAAAAATGGATCAATTCCAATGACGCTGTAATCCAGGGGCCTGTCGAGTCATCAAGTGGAGTGTCCATTCCTCAGAGTCACCTCCTGTGTCTAATAGCAGCATTAAAATAACTTGGCAGTAAAATCTATTTGCCTCCTCTCAAATGTCCAAACATCTCCTGGTCCGCTGTGCTCACTGGTGCATATCGTCTGTCTCCGTGTGTGTGCTGCACTGTCCTGGGACGCAGCAGGAGCCCGGAGTGTTATTGCTGAAGGAGCTGTGTGTGTGCGGACCACCGGACAATAGCAGCAGTGGGCGGGACGCAGAGGCAGCAGAGGCAGCAGACCGGAGAAAGAGGCGCATCACTCGGCACATTCGCACATTTGTTTTGGCTAAACGACTCCGCTCTCCTCTTTCAGCACCAATCACAGCAGCATAAATCTGAAGGTGACTGACAGACGCTCGGAGAGAAGAGCCCGAAATATGAGTGGGATTCAAGACATAATAAATGACACAATGATTCACATGTTACAGATGTTTTCCCAGACAACAGTTGGCATCTTGTCTAAAGTCTAACAAACCAAATCCCCAATGGTTATAACAAATTATCTGTGGAAAACCATAGGATGTCTGTACTACAAGTTACAACACAGGATATTTTTGATGAAGGGATATCGTTAATGCCCCAAGTTTTATTATTTTGTGTAAAATCCCAAAAAAGAAAGAATTAAGTGTGATTTATATTCTATACTGTACTTGAACTGTACGTCTCCACTTTCAAACAGATGAGTTTTATCTGTTGTTGGAGTAAAAATGTGGGATTCTCAAGTGAAAGACTCTTAAAACATTGTAAAATTATGTTCAATAGCTTATAAGAGGAAACATTTTAGTATACATAAGTGATTCTTGATTTGTGATGTGTTATGTTTTTGATGAAATTGATGATACTGTATATATACACACGTACACTGTATCTGCTGAGGATGATGGTAAAAACCATTTAAATCTGGTTTGTGAAAGAGGGGCGGAAAAGTGTGAGCAATATCCGCTCCCTTCTGATGATGGAAATTGTGTAAAGTACGTTACCTGTTAATCATATATTTTAATGAAAAGAATAAAAGAACCTATAACCTAGACTGATATTTCTCAACTGTGGGAAAAGGATTCTTTCAAGTAGATTTGATCTCACAATTTGTCGCATTTAAACAAATAATAACTTTTGTATTAGTTTGTACAATAGTTCTTACAACAAAAGGAATCTCATTCTCCAACAACTAACAGAAGCGAGGCACACTGGCTTCTGTCAGTGTGCCCCGGGGCAGCTGTGGCTACGGCAATAGTTAGAGAGTGTAGAGGGTCAATGAATAAATCTACGTGAATGGAGATGAAGTCAAAAAAGCATTGCATCATATGATCAAAGTTATAGAGTGTTATGAGAACTGGGGGATGTAAACTTCTAATCGGGGTCATGTGAGTGGTTCTATTAATATTTAAAAATCAAAGACATATACAACGTTTACTTCAGAATAAATGGCTGCACACAAAAAGTGCTTTCGTCATCATTCGTAATCTCTAAAATATGGCCAAAAAATGAGGCACAACTACGCTCTGTACCCTTTGTGAATAGATTCGATGCATTTTTACAAATTCAGCAGAATGCGATGATGGAACAGCGCTTTGACAGATTACTTGATATTTACGCAATCAGCCGCTGCTCTGTGGCTGCAGCGGTCTGCTCTTTCCTCTGTCCCGCTGCACCGCACTCTGTCAGTCCTATAACGGTCTGATACGAGACACATGGGGTGAGAACAGCACTGCACTTCTTAATGAGACCCCAGTGTCAGCAGACGTAGGAGTCGACGACAGAGCCACCTCCAAACCATCTCCGTCTCTGCTGCTCCGCACGGTGCAGAGATCAGCCTGTGTTCGTTGGAATTAGCAGATGAAGTTCTTATACTTGGCTCCACTGAACCCATTCTTTCTCAGGTTTGCTTTTTAGTGCATTGTGTGGCTGTGCTGTGCTCACAAGTTTCTCTGCCGTCCCTTTCCTGCAGGGTCCGGGTTTTCCCCTTAAAAACACAGAGACTGGACACACATCTGTACTTCAATCTGGAGAGACCCGAACAGACAAAACATGGGTATTATTAGAACTGTATACTATACTTGCCAACTTATTGAGTCATAAATTACACTGAAGAAAATAATTTTCAAGATTACATTTATTGTGTTAGGATTTGGTGCTTAGACCCCGGCAGAGCACAGCAGGATTACAGAAGAAGAGATTATGAGATGAGATCCCCCGAGGCCTAGACCCTGGTGGTTGTACAAGGCGGAATGAGGCGGAGATGGGGAGGAGGAGGGTTGTGGCATGAATGAAGCTGCTGCTTGGATGGAGCACAGTGTCATCCGTGAGATATGTTCTCCATGTCATCTCATCACTTCAGCTTCCAGCACGACCAGCGTCTAGGCTGCAGTATTCCCTATTTATAAACCATGCTGTCTGCCAGGTTTAACACTAGAACTCCCAGAGCAGTCAATTTGACACTTGCAAAAAATATGCAATGTGTAATTACTCTGCCTTTTATCTATTTCTGTTATACAGTATATATTTTATTTGTATTTAAAAAATAAAACAAAATGTAATAATCTTTTATTTTCAAGTAGTTTGAGAATTCTAGGAGTCCCACAGTAACCAATACTCTATGCAACCATAACACAATAAACAAATTCTAATTCATGATTTCTTGCAAGTCGTTCCAGAGTGATTTGTTTCCAATATTGGTCTTTACACAACAAAAAGTTGATTATGTAATTTTCTATCAACTAGACCTTTTTCCTTCCCCATCTGTGAGTGAAGCAGGGCGTCCCAGAGGCTCCAGTGATAGTTCCTCTCTCCATTTCCTCTTAATGAAATAATCCCTGTCTACCTGCGATCGGCCGTGTAGCCTGCAGTGGTGTCTGCGTTAAATTAGAACCATGTTGTGGTTCTGTCTGTGCTCTGCTCGCTGCTCTCTGCTCTCAGCTCTGAGTCCTGATCCAGAGTCCTGATCCTGAGCCCTATAGCCCAGTGTCAAGCATGAGACCGCTCTGCTTTTTCACAGACGTCCAAGGTGCATTTTGTTCCCATGGTGATGTGGTAAACAAAACAGTAGTAGTAGTAGTGGTAGTAGTATAACACAACAAAGCACTGTTCTCTAATTATTTTAGTTTTCTTTATAAACAAAACGGACGTATTCTAGTATAAATTAAAGCTGGGTTGCTTAACTTTCATACCAGAAAGAAGTATGTGAGTAGGCATGTATTATTGGACATTTTTTCATCAGGTTTCAGACAGAAAAGTGATACTGAGGAGGGTTTTTTTTTTTTTTACAAGACTCCTTCTGACTCCTATTATAAAATAAAATAAAATCAGACACCCCAGCTTTAATATTTTGTTCACTCTTTAAACATGTAAAACTAGGCTAATTTTCCAACTAAGTGTACGTGTTTGTGTGTCAACATGCAGAGGAATTGTGTGCTTTTTATCCGTTTATCAGTTTAACCAGTGTTATCTCCGAATATTAGATTAACTGCATTATGTCAAGTCCACAAACTATTCACTGTATAAAAAGTCACTCGTCTCTGGTACAGGCAAATATACCTGCTGAAAATGAGCGTGCCATTCCAAGCGTAACAGCGGCCTGCCAAACACTGGGGCTTCAGGGCAGGGCTATGGTTCTGGTTTCGTCCACGGCTTTGTGGTTCTGTCCGGCCAGGGTCCAGTCCGGAGGAAGTAACTCAGGAAACCGCAACTTCCAGTAAAAACATGCAATTAGAAACACATAGGCTGATGCTTTTGGCTCCACGCGACCAAAGATGGCGGGCGGAGAGGAGGCAGCGACATGACTGATGTGGTAGACAAGATCACTGTAATGGGTCAGCTGGAAAATCCCATGAGGCAATGGGGTAAAAATGGAGAGAGAGAAAGGACGGTGACGGATGAAGACAATGACGTTGTGAGACGAAATGAGAAGCAGAGCAGTAGAATGTCTCGGGACGGTTTTGGGGCGAACGGGCGGTTGACAATAATATTCCATCAGTGGAAATCCCAACCGCTGCTACTGTTTACAAGAGGCAGTAAAAAACGCCACAGTGTTTTGGGAGCGCGTCAAAACTGTCTCGCCATGAGAGACGGGAACATGGCAGACTACGGCAATTAGGATGGAGTCTGAGATAGACATAACATTTAGGATTTAGACAGGTTTGAATGATATAAGCTATTTTAATTCAACGTGTTTTCACTCTTTTATTGTAACTGAATGCTATTATGAGCATTGAGATGGACTTTTTTATTCACTGAATACTTATTTTACACCATTATTTGCAAACAAATTCTGTAAACATCACTCTTTTTCATCTTTATAAGTGGCATGACTTTGATCCTCCCAATCAATTGGTGGCTGACTTATCTCTGGATATCATAATTAAAATAATTCACCCATCTGTTCAGCAGAATAGATCCAAAGGTGCACCATTTCTGATGAAGTCTGTATCCCTGCCCTTTTTGAAGAATTTTACTAATTTCCTATGATACTTAACTTCTTTTATATGACATATGTAATTACTCGTGGCTGGAAGTTGAACTGCCTCAATACTGATTGAAACTCCTAGTAATAAAAATGTCTGCAGTGATTCACAACTGGCTGTCCCTTTTGCAACTGGTGTCCAGACATTTTAGTAAATGGGCCACTTTAGTTCACTAAAATTTGACATGTCTATATTGTTTCGTAGTTGGCAAAGCTGAAGTTGGTTGAATGAAAAATGTTAGCATCATACAATCAAAAGGAAATGTCAGTACTGTCAAAGTCAATGAATGGATTCCATAGATCCTGTGCTTCACTGCAAGACATACCACTGAAGTTGGCTGGATGACACTGTGAACTTGTATTTGAAATCTCAAAAAATACATTGGATGAGCAAGGAAGAGGGCCACATAAAATTACATGGGGAGCCACAATTGGCCCACGGGCCTTAGCTGGGCATGTCTGGACTAGGGCAGTGTGCCACCAGGCCAATTACAGCCTTGGTACAGTACGTTGCCTCAAGGTGTAAAGCTTTCCCTGGAGGAAGTATCTGTAAATCTACTCAAAGGTAAAAGGGTAAAATGAAAAGCAGATATTGTATTTTCAATGTCTGCTCAATTGGGCAACGTTTTGGGATCACAGAGCGATGTTTCAAAGATAAAGCTCTTGTAAATGTCGTGTGGTTTGGAGCAGCCTGTTTGAACCTGCCTGCTCCGTGAACGGCCATCCGCTCTGGTCCTACAATTATTTCAAATGTGGATGTCATTACATTTTATAGGCTCACTGTTTTTCCTGCTGCCTGAAAGCTTCTCATGTAGCTGGATAAGAAGGCACTAATTGTTTAATTGTGGCACAAACAATTAATTTGTTAGGAAAGACCCAGCAACCAGTCTCCTCAAGCCAAAACCAGTGAAATACCTCGACAGAACACCCTATTGAATTAAAACAAGGTGCAAGTTTGACCACAACTGAAATTCTCACCACTTAAATGTCATGAACCGCTGTGAGAACTACGAAACCACATCCAGACCAAAATTATATCAGACGGAATCTATGTGTTGTGGTTAAGAAAAAGTGCTTTAATTTGTCGTCGCTCCACACGAGTCAAAGAGAATTTAATTGATCGATATTGAGTCCTTACACTAAACCCATATGGCAGGTTAGATCAGTCATTTCTCAAGACATTTGTAAAAAAAATCATACATTCAATATTTGCTGATTTTTTTTTCTTTTTCAATTTACAAAAAAATAAATCCACACAGGTCCAGGACAGCGAATACAAGTGTAATGACTTTTATTATGTATTTCTTAATTTGGGCTTGATTTTCTTTGTTACTTCTAGGTTGGAGATTGGCAGTAGACATATCCTTTAATTTGTGTAATAAACCAATCTCACCAACTTTGTCGATTCAATTTATTCCTATTATTATAGTTTTTACATTTTAGTTGGCTACTGCAGTACTTTCTATGGTTTTGGTCCAATAGAAAGTTCTGAACAAGTAGAAGTCAGCGCTGGGAAAAAAGTAACTCGTCATCAGCGGCTCACTAACACGTCAGAAATTAAAGAGGCAGAAATGAGGAGACAATGTTTTTAATTTGTCCAAATATAAAAGTGTTAAGTGACAATTCACAGTTGCTGTAAACAAAAGGAGCACTGTTGTATTTAGGAAACAGAACGTGACAGAAAATAAAATCGGGGTCGGTCCAATAATACATCATGAACACAACAAACACATTGGCCTCGACAAAAACTCTTTGGTGCTAGCCTAAAACAAAACAAGTGTAAACAGATTTAGCACCGGTCAAACAGGAGCAGAAAAGCCTGGCCCATTGAACACAGAACATCAGCATCACACTAAGACACTTCTGGATTGGAAATGTAACTCAAGCCTCTCTTCCTATGATTTGGTGTCGGTAAAGTCAGAATTTCACTTCTTGGCACCGTCTTTGGTTTTTGTAAACATTTTAAAAGGCTGGGTGATCTACTTATTTGTAAATAGCAGCAATATTTAAAAAAAAAACACAAACGGAAATACTAATAGTCCCTTTGTAAGTTTGCATAGTTTCTGGCCAAAAATGTCAAGATACATTTTGGCGGTTCATTCAAAAACCTTTCTGTCCCTCAACCACTATATTGTTTTAAATATTCATACATTTGTTGCATGTAATTAAGTAAACAAAAATAAAAAAAAATGACTATGTCTAATAAGACTTTCATCCACTTTTGGTCCTGCATTTGACCACTTCTGAATATTGTAGTGAAAAAAAAAAAAAAAAAATTGATAACACTGTAAACTGCTTTGATATATTTTCTCAAAACTATTCTATTCAACTGGAATGAGCTTTTGAAGTATAAACACTTATTTAAATGGGGGTAACAATAATACAAAACATAACATTTGTATTGACATAAAATAAGAAGAAATGTACAGCTATTACTGTAGTTGTACAATTAAGTACAGTTTAGTCTGAAAATACTTGTTCTTACAGTAAAATAATTTAATATACAGTAACTTGAATACAACATAATTACATCACGACTTACAGAATCCGAATGCAGACTGAGCAGAAGTTTAATGTCAGGGAATTACAGTTTAGTGTTAATTCGGTGACAAATTTTAATCTATAAACAACTAAACTGCTTTTGGTATAATTGTGCGATCGAAACAGATTTTATTATTGATGCACTATGTAACTTTACAGGTGAGTTTGGTTCATTACAAACAGTTTCAAGGCCTCCTATTATGTATTTATTATGTTATTAAGAACTTAAGCTGGGGCATTTTACTTTCAAACCACAACATAGTATAAGAACTAGGTAATAAATAATAAAATATCTAACTAGTTCTCTCAAAACAGGTCCCATAACAATTTTTTTCACATGAATGTATTTGTAGATCAACTTCTCAGACAGAAAAGTGAAGAGTGGACCACGCTCGTTGAGCCAATCAGCTCTCTGGGCTCGTTCGACAATATTCTAATAGAATTAAAAATGGTATGGTGTGGTCTGATTTTATATTTTACTTTTACAAAACTCTTTGTACCAAAATAAGTAATAAAAATAAATAAATGTTTAGGTACCCCAGCTTTTAAGTGCACCTTTAACATACAAATTCACCCAGAACCTAACGTTAGAATCTGGAGTTCACATAGAGCTAAGACCGAAAAAACGCATCACGGCTGTTTTGGAATCCTGTTCAATGCTGGTTAACTTGTTTGTTTTCACCGTTTCTTTCACGTCTTCCCGCTCAGTAAGATTGCTCTAACATTCTCTTTCTCTATGTTTTTTGTCTTAATCTCGACCTGGCTGTTTCGCCTAATGCTTTCCATGTATTTATATTAGCTGCGTCCGTGCTATCTATCCATCTCCATACGGTGCATATAGGCCACGTATGAAGTATGAGACTGAACTTTATCTTTGGCATCTGGCGAGATCTGCGCTGAAAGAATGTCCCTAGCTCTCCGTCTCCCCGTGGACGTTCTCCATGTGCACTTTGAGGTAGTCGTTTCTGGTGAACTTCTTGTGGCACAGCTGACACTCGGCCATCGGGCGGTTCGGGTTGTGAGTGAGTTTGTGTCGACTCAGCATCTTCTTCAAACTAAAGGACAAGTCGCACACCTGCAGACACAGACACCAGAGAGTCAGAGAGCTAGAAAAGTACTGTATGCTATGATCGTATACTGTAAATTGATGGACATTGCTAACCCCCTAGAAAAATTAAGCCCAATAGGGAAGTGCTCATGGACAAAGTTTCGCTCCTCCTCTGACTCCTATTGACTTAAATTGCAAAGTAAACTCTAGCACAGTAGCCGTTTCAGTCACGCTCACCATTTTGGGCTCTCAAAATACATGGTTTATGATCCAGGACACTCACATTCAACAACAATAAAAATAATACATCGGTTTTATATTCGCATTTCAGGACAGACACATGCACATTCAGGCAGACACACAGAGTGCAAGCTGAAACTAAGAGTTGTATGCTTGGAGAAAGCATGGCACAGGAAGTACGACAATATTAGTCCAGTTCTCAGGTCCCTGCACTGGCTTCCTGTGGCTCAGAGAATAGACTTTAAAACAGCTCTGCTTGTGTACAAGTCTCTCCATGGCCTCGCACCAAAATATATTAGTGACATGTTAGTCCCATATGAACCAGCCCGGACTCTGAGGAGCACAGGGACTGGACTCCTGTTAGTGCCCAGAGTCAGAACTAAACATGGGGAGGCTGCTTTTCAGATTCATGCTGCTAAAATCTGGAACAATCTTCCTGAAGATGTGAGACAGGCCTCCTCTCTGACAATGTTTAAAACCAAGTTAAAGACAGTTCTGTTTAGCTGTGCATACAACTGAGGGATTTTATATTTTTATCTTTCGTTTTAATGTTCTGTGATTATTTATGATTTTAATGCTATCTTGTTCAGCACTTTGAGTTGCCTTGTGTATGAATTGTGCTATACAAATAAACTTCCCTTGCCTTGCCTTTAGTTATTAACCGTTTAGTGAGTTTAGTGAGTCCGAGTTTCTGAAGTGAGGGGGGGAGAGTTCCAGAGAGTGGAAGTAGAGATGGTGAAAGCTTGGTGCCTCAAGGTTTGGTGCTTGGACTTGACAGTTTAAGGAGATGTGAGTCTGCAGATCGGAGACGACGGGAGGGACTGTGGGGCTGTAGAAGTTCAGTGAGGGCTGGAGGAGCGAGGTTATGGAAAGCTTTGTAGGTGATGAGGAGGATTTTGAAATGGATGCGCTGTTTGATGGGAAGCCTGTAGAGTTTTTGAAGGACAGGGGTGATGTGTTCTCTGGTGCAGGTTTAAAAGGATGAGGCAGGCGGCAGCGTTTTGGACATATTGCAGTTTTTTTCAACACTTATGGACTAATACCAAAGTGTTTTCTGTTCCATTTCTTGTGTTTGAACTGTTTGAAGTCAGTGGTTGTGTAAAGTCATCCGAGATAACTATTGTTGTGATTTAGGGCTATACAAGAAGAAATTTGCTTGAATTGAATCCAGTTATGAGCCCGGACAACTGACCAATCAGGCGCCCTCTGTCTCTGGCTCCTGATTGACGCTTGGTAACTTAGCCGTTGCTACTAACAAAATGATTCAGCTCCAGATTCCTGCCCAAATAGCCTGTTCGAGCTTGCTCAGCCTCAGCCTCTTCAGGTAACAACTATGGGTGTGCGTGAGTGTGCCAAGTAATACACACAGTTCAGTTTTAAGAGGCCTATTGTGATTTTGTTTAGATTTACCGCCTTCCCTTTTTCCCCTCAAATTTGCTTCAAGAGTGATTCATACAAGATTGAATAATGTCCTCAGTGATCTTGGCGATACGTTATTGCTCCGACAACTCTTGTTTTCAGCTACATCGATACACGTCCACTGCTATTTAATTACTTTGCAGAGTTACTTTTCCTCTTTAATCTGTTCTACATGATTGGCTGAAAAATAGTCTGCACTTCACTGTGATGAAGCAAAGGAGCAGGAATAAATGGATACATCATTTATAACGATCAACGGACTTGCTTTCTATCAATTTAGATCAATATTGCGCTTTATAATGTTCAACAGATATGATAACTCTGGAGAGATTCAAACTATTTAGCGTACTTTGCACACACATTATGTCTGCTTTGATCTATGCTGTTTAGTGTGAATGAGCTGGAGATGGTTTGCTCGATCTCCAGCCTCATGTCTCCACCTCGCCTAATGCCCAGAGTTTAAAAGGTTCAAAGTGGTCTCAACCCTGGGATGATGAATGAAAAAAGAAAAAAACCCTTGTTGGGGCGAAGGTTGAAGGTTGAGAGCATGAGAAAACACATGTTCTGGTAATGCAGCAGTAAAAAAAAAACTTTACTTTCTGACATTGTTTGACTTATAATCCCGCTTTCATTATTTTCCAACAAGGCGTCCCAGACTCCGTGTTTCTCGTCTTATCTTTCCCTGTGCGAGACATAACACACTGCCAAAGTCTTAGTCACACTTGGTGCATTTTGGCATCTAAAATCAGCCTTTTTTTTTCCAGCCGCAGCGAGATGGGGGAACGCCACGTAACATCCATCATAAACGAGCCATTTTACACTGTACAAATGACTGCTTGGTCTTCAATCCATCACGCTAATCCGTTACTGGCCCGCGCAGAGCCGCAGTGTAGCCCTCGGAGAAGCCCAGCGTGGGTCCTTTTCGGCCCATCTGCGCACAGCTACGGCCCCGTGAATCACATCCAGAGACGTCATTTACATGCGTGGGGCGAGCCAAAAGGTGGAAGCTATGAATGAGAAGACGTCTTTGATTCAAATCCTTTCAAACAAGCTACAAATGTGGCGCAGTAAAATATTTAGAAATGTTAAAATGGTGGAGTAGTGACAGGAGCCAGCGAGCCCCAAAGCCCAAATCCTTCTCCTGCCCTGGATGCTCTCAGTCTGGTCTTGATAGAAGTCTACAAAATGTTTAATGCTGTTTTGACAGACGATGCATTCAGGGCCCTCTAGCTCATCTGGCAACTGCCTCCATTGCCTCTCTGTCTCCACGTAAAAAATAAAATCCACATGTTTTTTTCATTTCTCTTTAATAGTGAAGAATTATTTACATGAACAAGCAAAGAGGATCCAGATGAAATTTGGACGTCGTCGTGAGGCAGTTTCTCGACTAACAATTGCGAGGAGATGGATGGGAGAGAAATCCAGTGGGTTTTTTTTTCTAAGACGACGCTCAAAAACATGGCAGAGTGAAAAGCCGGTGTCAAAGTTCCACTGCATGAAGTGATAATAAGATGAGTGATAGGGGCGGCCTGCAAGCATTTGTCTGAATGTAGCTTAGTTGGAGTTTTGTGGTGAAACGAGGTTATGTATATGGATGGATAGATGCACATATAGCCTCGTCATAGCATCGTTTCATATATTATTTTTTCATTTAAACAGACTTGGCCTCAAAATTTAAGAAAACTCTAGGTAGGCTCAATGATTCAGCCCTTTATGTCTGATAAAAATCTCAATACTGCGGCTTTAATATCTGTTATTTCTTTGTTTTAAAATATTATTCTCCAAGTAACTACAGAACTAAACCCAACATTTGTTCTAATATTGGAACCAATATCCAATACCAGTATCGGTGCGTCCCTTGTAGGCTCTAACATAAACACAGTTGTGAGAAGAGGATTTAACTTGAAAGGCAGTGCATCTGATCTGTCTAATGTTACTGCTGTGTCCATATAAAAAAAATAAAAATGAAAAGGATTACAATATAAAAATCTATAGCAATGCAAAAATCATGGAACACTTTGAGAGCTGACAGAACCTAAGACAAGTATAAAGCCCTCTTATGTAACAGAGCTGCTATTGAATAAAACAATGGCCATGTCAAATCAATGAGAGTAGGTCATAGTGTAATGCTTATGTGACAGAAGCTATTCTTATCCAATGTCATCAGTTCAAAAACACTTTATTCTTGTCAATTCAATCCAATCAAAGTTCAGTCTGCAACATTTATTGTAATCCACGCCGACAGGGACCGGCCTAAAACTGATAACGCTCAGGATAATGAGTTCCTTCAGTGCATCTTACATCATAATTATCTGCAAAGTAAACTTCCAATTAACAATCTATCTTTGGTTTTCTGAATTTTCAAAGCGTCGTTCTTATTTAGAGCGAGTTGATGAGACGATAAGTGTTGATGAGGTCTTGTGCAGCAGAATAAGCCTGTGGTAATTTCTCTCACTGTGTTTACAGAGAGTCGCTCTCTTCTGTCTCTGGAGAAGTCAGATTAGAATCTTCCTCTGGACCAGAGCCAGAGCTGCCACACATCACTAATACATACAACTTGGGAAACAGCAGCGAATGTAACTGGACGCCTTTTCGTCTTTATACAGAAGCTAATTAAAGTCAAGTTATTGACTGAATGCCAACCAGATTCAATCATTTGTCAAAGATACCAAGACAAGCACAGCAAATTGTTATAATATATTTTAAGAGTGACAAATCCATGTGAGCCTTAAAATAATTGATGTGCTTCCTGTTTTGTAACCGTTGTCACTTCTATATGCAGTGCAGCACAGTAAATAATTGATCAAAAAATAAGAAAAGAACTGTAATCTAATATATACTGTATCTCACTTACATCACATTGGAAAGGCTTCTCTCCGGTGTGTGTCCTCATGTGCTCGTCCAGGCCTCGCTTTTGACTGAAGGCTTTGTTGCATTCGGTGCATTTGTATGGTTTCTCCTGCAAAGACACAAAGCCATATGACCATTATACAGGGGCATGGACCTTTGAGCCTGAAGGTTGTGGGTTCAAGCCCACCATGAGACCATCTCCACCGACTCCCACTGATGTCTGCTGTCGTTGTGTCCTTGGCCTGAAGCCCCTGCTGAAAGATCAAGGCTATGCTGTCACCAACAGCAGCCATCCTCCCCCTGCAGGAGGATCAGTGAGGGGCTGGTGCTTTGTGAATTGGGTGGAATTGGGCTAAAAGATGCACAGAAAGTTTTACTTGGGTTTAATATGAGAAAAGAATTTTTGATCAGGTGTATGCATGGGATATCGTCTTTTCTCACACCGCTTTCAGCCAGTAAAATCCATCCTCTGTACATAAATGTGTTCTGGCATTTCTGATTTCTATCTCAAAACATTCATCATGAGTGCTCCCTTTGATGCACGCACTAGATCTAAACCACCTCATGAGCCACAAAAAAATCTTGAGCTAAACAAAAACATGCCATCAAACAACATAAATACGGTGATGAGTATTTGACAGAAACATGGAAACGGGAAAAGGTTTTAGATAAACGTTCTCCTCGCCCTGGTGTTGTCTGTGCGAGAATGACAGATTGTACAGCCCCTGCAGTTGGGGGAAATGACCGGCGTAAGGGGCCATCAAAAACACATGGATTCCTCAAAAGAGCAAGAAAAACAGGGCACAGTAAAGCCCTTTGAACGAGTATCAGGGCGCTGCACGCTGGGGCTGTAGAGTATCAGTGCAGAGCCTCCACACCTCATCAGTTTACCCAGGAACATTTCCTCTGTGTGATCTGAGGCCCAACGACATGTCAGTCAAAGACGCTATCTCACTGCGGGTGTGCACCAAAACCATTATGTCCCTGGTGTGGACGGAAAACGGAGGAGTGTCCCAAAAAACCGAGAGAAAAAGTGTCTTAAAAAAACATGTCAGTGCAGCAGTTCTAGTGAAGGGAAAATAATGAAACAGACAGTAGATGAGAAACTTCAAACAGGATACCCACTAGTCTTAACGTTGCATTGCACAACATGGACTTTGCTACTCGCTTGTGGTCACAGAAATGCCTATTATTGTACCTTGTTTACAATAAAGAATATATAAACTTGTACATTATTTAATTACAGGCTGTTTTTACTGCTTAAATACCACAATTTTTACATTGGATCCTCTGTACTCTGCAGAATGTAGAGACATTCTGGACATGGGTTAACCAATATGTTTTTGTGTTTCCTTTGGTGAACATTGTTTGACTGTTTAATTTCTTGAGTTGAAATGTGACTCCTACTCCTAAAGTGAAATCCCTTTCTTGTTTCCAATGAAGATTGAAAACTGTTATACCATGATCATGAACTTTCCAGGCAAAACAACATTCTGAGGAACTGGAGAAAAAGGTAGACCCTCACCCAGGAGAGTTGTGAAAGGAGGAAAGTGTAAATTCCAGGTTGTGTCGATTGATTACTCTATTTGAAATTTGCACGTTAGGTCTAAGAGGGACATCAGTTATTCAAAAATACTATATGCATGTTTTTGATTTATCTTTATCCAGAAAAATAAAGATTTATCTGAATATGTCACTCGCCTATGTGAGCGGAAAACAAGCTCATCCTACAGTGAAAGTAAAAAAGATAGGAGCATGAGGCCATTCCCAGTGTCGGTCTCTCTCTGGGAAACTCTGCTGGACAAATCTGGCTGATAGCAAAAGACTCGGGCCATTTAAAGCTTAGTTGTCATGGGAACGGGGTGAATGCAGGAAGTAAAGGGTCCTGGGAAAAAAGCTATCAAGGGGGCGTGCCCAAACGTGCTCAGTGACACGCGATACAAATAGGTAACCATCAGGTTGAGTTAAATGTAGGTTCACTACGCAGCAATTTGTACAATAATAAGATAGAGGCAGATTTTCCGCTGTCACATGGGCCTCTGGATTGTATTGGTTTGTGTTAGACACCCGAGAAGACACATTTAGGACCCACAACTGCTCTGCGTCAGACTGATAAAATAAACAAACAAAACTTTGTATTTTTTTTATTATTGTTATTGTCCACTTGAGACTGAGAAATTATGAGTTTACACATGGGGCCGCACAATGGACCCATGTCATCTTTTCACCACTGGGAAGACGGGAATGTGTCCAAATAAAAGGGTCAAAAAAAACTTTCTAAAGTCACGGTAAAGTGCACCCATAACATACCGCTTTATAACAGGCAAGGCAAGTTTGGCATTCACATGGAGCAATGTAAACATTTTCATACAAATCTTTCATAAGCGCATGCAAAAGCCCAAATCTGACAAACAAACAAATATTGTACACCAGTACCCGAGCAAAAAATCTGTGCGTTTTCTGTGTGTTTGTGTGTCTATATGGGGGGGAGGTATTGATCATCAGTGTAATTGACAATATTAACCAATGAGGTACATTATTGGGTGAGAACCATGTGGGAAAATAATGGCTTTCATGACTGGGCTATTTTAAATTGTGGTTAATCCTTGTTTTCTTTCTTTCATTTCAGTCCTTGTTGAACAATAAAAAATAAGTCAGATTAGGGAAAGTTGAAGACAATGGCACTTCGTTTCCAACAGTCAGACACATACTAAAGACATAACAAGTTTTATGAAATGTCTCAGTGCCTTTACCCATCCGCTCTGACTCTCTCGTGGCCTGATGAGAACCGCTCCGGCAGAAGCAAAGGGCCAGAGGTCAGAATGCACATGGATGGACGGAGTTGATGTTGCGTACCCAGAATGCATCATCATGACCCTGGTAACATCGAACATCTGTACCTGCTGACCTCCTCACTTTCAGCATCTGCTCACCCCGCCACCTTTGACCTGCTCTTTTCTCTCAATATTGACCAGTCTCCACACGGAGTCCATCTGTAAAGGCTGCATACGTGTTTGTTTTTCTTACTTCCTCCAGAGCACATCATTGGTGTGTCTTGTTAAATTTGCACAGATTTGTAAAGCAGCATGAAGCCGGAATAAATAGTGTTGTTTATACAGGCTTCTGTGCGTGCAGTCACTTTGAACGCGTTTAAGGATCGCTTACTTGTTTATAGATCCATTCACCAAGATCGCTGTTGTTGTTCAAGTTTAAAATGTGAGTGAATCAACAGAAACTACTCAAATGACCCTGATCATAAGTTTCCATCCCCCAGTTCTCAACCCTGTTTATTTCCTTTTTGACATCAATGACATCTTGGAGTATCTTGTGGTTGTTGTGGATGATGTTCTTTATCCTCTCTGCAGATAAAGCTACCCATTCTACATTACAACAATCCCCCACTTGCAGGTTATGTAAGGCGGCCTAGGAATTGAGAATTCCTAGGCCGCCTTACATAACCTGCAAATTTGAGATCCCCCCCCGATGGGCTCAATAATGCGATAATTTGAAGATAGAAAACACTGTTAGTTGACAATAAATGGTTTCACACAACCATTTACAAGGAGTGAACAAAGGAGTTTGTGTTGTGTGCAAAATATCCCAAATATGACCTAACACAAGGCTAGGTTTTTAAATCGTCAAGTACCGTATACGGCAGCTCCTTTGGGATCTCCATATCAATATCTATATCTATATCTATGCTGAGTGAATGGAGTAAAACTTTATGGTCATGTTATAAGCTGGTAACTAAGTCCACCTGTCAGGGGAGATGGCCTTGTTGGGATGGGTCTTCAGGCAGTCTATCAATTTTCATGGTCTGAGCTCCTCCCACTGCCCCGAGACAAACATCTGAGACCAGGTAAACTGGCTAATTAGCGCGACTAAACACCGGGCTTTAATTTACTGCCATCGCCCCAGCTCCACGAGACCTGTCCGAAATAACAAGCATAGCATGTTTAAGGGCACTCAACTTAGACATAACTCTACTTGGGAGAAATGTGAATGAAATTAGCTATGTAGCACAGGTGATTGCAGAAAAACAAACTTCTGCGGGTTTGTGTGAACATACGGTAATATCATGAACTCCAGAACATCACTCTTCATGATTTTTGGTTAAGAGCTTTCAGTACAATTACAGACAAATAACCATGTACAAAAATGTAAATAATGCAGATTTTATCAAACAGCCCAAACCATGTTATCTTGCATCACATTTAATCATTAAAGTGTGTTTTTGGATGGATGTAAAAGCTTTTCCCAGACGAAAAATACTTTTAGATAATTATATGCCTGTAAGTAAATCAATTAGGTTAAGTAGAACCAGGGATAATCTATTCCCTGCCCCCACTGACATTTTGATGAGCTTAAAATACTCATTATATTAATATTGCCTTTTTATAACAGTGACGTTACAGTCAGTCTAGGGTACAAGCAGTGCACATGGGACTGATTTGGAAAAACTATATGTTTCGCTCAATACACAGTGTTTGTGTCTATTACATAAATATATATATACTTTTTTGACATTATTAATTTTGGAGTAAAGAATTCTTGACGCTCTTTTTCCGTATTTTACAAAACATAGACGTATGTTTTATAAAATACAGTCCTCCAGCGATAGAAGTGTTGATCAAGTTGAGGAGCAACATCTGGAGATTCCCCTGACCGGTTGCCCTTTGGCATTGATGGGTCAAATGTAGAGAACAGATTTCCTAAAGGGAACAATAAGTAGCTGACGGTACCTGATTAGTCTGAAAATCATCAACACAAGCACCCATTTTCAACAACCCACACTTATGTCAAAACGTCTAACCAACAACATTAGGGACAGATTAGAAAAAATATATTTTTTTTTTTTAACAAGTCAAAACGCCTAAATAGCTATGTCTCCATAAAGTCGGCAACATATGTGCGTCATGTGTACATTTAAGTGCATGTCCAAAATTCCAAATGCCATTAGTTTCAATGCAGTGACTTCATCGAGCTCTGCTGTTTGTCACTGTTCAGCCCATATTTCAGACAGGACAGATTGGGGAACACAGAGACCCAAAACTGGAGGTCATTTAATCTGGAACCCACTACTTCAATTATACCTGCCTCCTTTCTATAGCTCTACTATTACAACACAACACAATGTACAGAGATGGGGTACTGCAACCTGCACAGTTTTACAAATGGACAAATCTCTTAAACGAGCTCCGCTGACAGGTCTCCACTATCACCGTCACGGCTGAATTAAATGCTGATGGAAATCTGGTGGAAAAACATAAAAAGTCTAATTTATCATCAGGAAGTACACGTCCAGATGTATGAAAGAGGCCTACAGAGACTGGGTCTGATTCAGGGCCACAATGGGTCGAAGGGTGAAGTGAGTGGAGTCTGAACAGAAAATGACCTCATCAAAGACCTGCCATTTCCCGTCTCCTCCTTTTGGCTTTACACCTATGACCATGCTAACACTTACATTACACACATTTAAATTTGACATAAAAACATAAGCACTATGCCTCATCTTTTTTAAGATAAATTTTGCCCTTTTCTTGGTGACTGGTGTCGAATGCCACACTTACCTCATGACAGACCGGACATGGGAGAGTTTACAGTCCTGTAGCGATGACGTCTCTGCTGTGAGGGACTAATTGTTTCTACACTTCTGTCATTTTGACTCATACATCTTGGATGTGGTAATACTTTTTATATGCTGTGTTTCTGATGTACTTCTTACAGACATACACGGAGTTCAAGAATCCTATGGGTCTCGTTCACAAATTAAGGAAGGATGGAGTGTGAGATTAACAGATGATCTGTGCAGCATGTGCGTGATGCTGTATTTGACGACTGCGATGAAGACGAAGCAGTCTCAGAATACCCTTTTACTGGTCAATCTATATTTCCGTAATGAGCAAAAGGACTGAAAAATAGCTTCCTTCCAAAGTGGTAGAAGCTACACTCTACGACCAAGAGATAAAGGCCCCGTCCCAATTCTCACCCTAGCCCTTAAAAAGCACCCTTGCCCCAGATTTTGCATGGGCCAGCGGGGGTTGTAGGGTGTCCCAATACTTAGGAAGAAGTGACGAGGGCCCTCACACCCTTAAAAACCACCCTCGTGAGCAAGTGAGATCCGGAGCTCATGTGTATGTGCATGTGTCTGTCTCTGTGTGTTTGTACATGCGTCTGTTTGTGTGTGTGTGTGTCTGCCTCTGTGTGTGTACATGTGTGTCTGAGTGCGCGTGTGTGCGCCAGTCTCTATGAGTGCGGGATGTGCAGCAGTTCTGTACATAATTATAGCAATTCTTCATATGAAATAGAATTTAAAACGTCTCATATGGATAAACACTGTGTTTCATCTGTGTCAGATCTTATCTGTGGTGAAATCAGACACATTGATAATGCGTGTGACGTGGAACATCTTTGCTGCATTTCATTCATTTGCATATTGTCCCCTAGATCCAGGGGTGTCCCATTTCTGAAGGCGCGTTCAGACTTCCGACGCTGGAATGCTGACCTCTGGCGCACCAGACGAACATTTTCTAATATTCAGACGCAGGGGTGTTCAGACTGCGGTGGGCTGCGGTGGCGCCCGCCGGAAGTGGTGGAAGTAGCGGGCGGACGGTGAAGTTAAGCTAGCGCCTTTTTGTGTAAAATTATTTTCCAATAATGCAGCTCTGCAGCAGGTCTGTGTCCAGAGACCTTCCAGAAACTTTATATAACAGTAGTATGTGTTCACGGAGGTGCGCAATACGTTTATTTTATTATCAAACGGTACTTCTGCAAACACGCATGGTCCCGTTTTCACGGGACCATGAAAATGCACATGTTAACAAGTACTATGTCCCCCATTGTCAACCCTGGTTTAGTCCTGGTGTGGCTCCTGTTTTGGCTGTTTACGAGTATTTTCAGTCTGCTCGCTCAGTCCACTAATGTCCCTGTGACCACTTTGCGACTCTGATTGGTCGCTGCACGAGCGTCCCGAGGAAACGCTCAGCAATATTTATCCCCTGTGTGCGTCAATTTTCCGCTCCTGCGCCTCTGCCGCGCCTTTCCCGCTCAGTCTGTGCGTCTCTACTGCGCAGTCCGTGCATGCATCCCGAGACGCACATGCAGTTCCACGCTCGAACGCGCGTCACCATTGAATTTGCATTGAAAGTTAACGCAACGCATGATCCGGTCTGAACGCGACATTAGGGAGAATATCTTTTGAGTGCACGCCCCTATGGTACAGGTATGCTCCAGGGCACTCACACCTGGAGGGCCCCCAGAATTGGGACAGGGCCAAAATGTGGAACTCTGTAGAGCTGTTCCTCCAACTGTCCAAATGTCTGGGAGGAGCTCCTTGGGTTGTGGATTCCCAGGCTGGACCGGGCGTTTCTGGAGTTTGAAATGTTTCTCCAGGACTCCAGGTGCTCCGGTTTCCCTCACAACAAAATAACATCCACCGATGGTAACAATCCTCCAGCTCCAGTAATTCTAACCATGTCTAACCATCATTACTCTGTGACCATTACTTTCGACAAGTTGCCCTGGTTCCAACGCAGGATAGCTCAAATGCAGAAGACTTGTCCTAAGGGAATAACCAGTGTCCCAAGAGACCAACCAATAGGAACTATAGGTCTCTCCCCTGAATGAAAAATGGAACAAAAGTCTGGGAAAGGGGAAGACTCAGCTCAGCCTACTGGCCCTGCGGCCCAGGACAGGCATATAAGCAAAGGACCAAAATAATAATAATTCAGAGATAATTTACATTTGACAGACGTTTCCATTTTAACACATTTTGCACAGATGCTTTTACAGACACAACCCTCTCACATTTTTGCATAAACTCAAATCAACTTTTCATCCAATGCTGGAACCGTTTTCTCAAAATCCGATAATAATAATGGAGAAATCCCATCAAAGAAAAGAACGCAAATGTGAGATTTTTTTTTAGCAATCGCTGGAGAGGTCATATGAGTGAAAGGGAGGACGTCTGCTTACCCGAGTGTGTGTTCTGATGTGCATCTTCAGCCCGTCGTTCTTGCTAAACGCCTTATCGCAGTATGGGCACTGATACGGCCGTTCTCCTACAGGAAACACACAGGAAGAAAGAAGTTAGCATGTGGTCATACAGTATGTGTTACACGCACATTCAAAAAAGATTTAGGAGACATTATGCCAGAAGGTGAACAACCCTTCACTGTCAGATAGAGGACAAAAGCAAATATGCGAAAATTAGCATGTGAGCTATGGAACAAAGTGTTACATCCTGGTTCACACATGGTCCAAACGCTTTCTCCTTTTGTTTTCTGATCAAACCCAGATTGGCGCTTGCTACTGCACATCATTACTTGGACTTTTGTTTCTGACTGGGTTGAGCCCTGGCTTCCCAAAGATATGGGCCTATAGTTTCACTGCAGCGTGCCTTATCCCAAATGGATCAAACGCAGTCCAGCCAAGCTCCTCCAGATCCTATCAGAACACAGGCCCAGACGACAAAAACAAAGTGACGGACTGCCAATCAAACACAGTAAGGGCACATGGACCCGTTTACCAGTTCTGATCCACTCTGCTGATATGAGCGCCACACTCAATTACTGATTTAATTTTATGTAACTGCACTGTAATTATATGTTTAAACAAGAAAAAGTAGGGTTCAATAATCAAATAGGCTTAATATTCAAGCTAGTTTTTTATCACTATAATATACATTTATGTGACTGTCCCTCTCTCTACTTCTGTTATAATTATCCCAACTTCTGCCTTTTGCTTGAGCACCCAAAAGTTTTGTTGTTTTGACCAGGAGGTTGTCTCAGCTCAATAATCTGTAAACAGATAATTATCTTATTTCAAAAGTAAGACTATTAAATACACATGTCCTATAGTTTTACTTGCAAAGTCTGGATTCTGGGCATGCCAAATTATTATTTACTATGTTCTATTTATATAACTTAAAGATTATTAATTTCTCGTTTTCTTTTAAGGTTGAACGTTTAGTCAATGTTGTTTTCTAGTTTATGTGAGTAGTTTAAGTTCATTTTCTCAGTGCTTTTACTCAACATTCATTGTATTCTTAGCTGTTTTATACAAAAACTCGCTGACAGCTGTCAGGCTGCAGATGCACATGTCGGGGTCTCTAAGTCCAACCATAAACCTTCATAAACCTCCATAAAAAGGAAGCTTCATGTGCAAAATGTGAGTGCGGTGACGCTGGGTAATAAAGTCTGACCTCCCTCAGGCGCACAAAGGGTTAACGGGACATATGTGCTGTGATTACACCGGACCAGGGGCTTGTGCATAGGACGGTCCCCAAATCCCCGTCTGTGCTTTCGTCTCAGCCTTCAGGAAGCCATGTTGTTGACAAACATAGCAATCTGAATCCCATCTGTGTGTTTAGAGTAAATCCACTGTCTGATGTAGCATGTGTGGTGTCGGGTTAAGGCCCTGGCTCGCCTCGGGACGTCCTGGGGAAGGCATTAGCATTAACAGGGCCCAGGGAGTACGGTGCCAGGGTGCACTCTGAAGTTTGGATCAGGTCTGCCTCGTAATCTGGGTATTGTCAGCTCATACACTGCTTTGACGACCACGCCCTGCTAATAAGTGCGCACCAATGCACCTACTTAACCTTCACAAGAACTCTGAAACTCTGAGAACTCTGGCATTCCACCATTTTCTCTTGTGTTGGACATCAATTCCAAGGGCTTTCAAAAACATATATATTTATTTTTTTAACAGATAATCACATATTTGGACACATGTGGATTTCACACAGATGGGTATACTTAAAGATGCAAATACTTCCATTTTCAACAATGCAGGGTAGGCGATGTTTCCATTGTATAAAGAGTTACAAAGTGTGTCAAATAGGCGTGACATATTACGCTGTAACCTCCCAGCTGCACTTCCAAACGATGTGGTCATAAAAGTAAAAAGCCGGCTGCTAGACCACTACTTACAATGGGAATGAATGGAGGCAAAAACACAATTATAAACAAACAGTCAACTCCGTACAGGGCCAGCGTAAGAAATAACATTTAGGTGGTAGACATGGATAAAGTGGTCTATTAAATGTATTACATGAAATACGTGAATCTTGCCTTTTTCTGTTTTCCAAGGATAACTGGAAAACCCAATAACTACTATATTCCATCCTCACAATGTTTTCCAGAATGTGTGGTGTGGCCTTTAAAACCAGAGCTATACTTACACATATCATATCTCCCACTTAAACAAGCCTTCCCTGTCTTTTCCATTGGACAATATTAGCTAGAATAACTGAAATCTGAAATTGGACACAAATAAACGCTTAGTTGCCAATCTAAGGGCTACATTCCTACTCAGCTTGCATGGTCTGGTGTCTGGGTGTTACTGTAACTGGAAACCATCCACTTACTCTGTAGATTGGTCCAGATTGTTTGGGGATTATGTGGGGCTTTATGTGTGTGGAGGAGAGATGCTAACTGATTTAGCATGTGTTGAAACCATACACCATCTTTTTGACCCCCCGGGTGTCTGTCCCTGCCCCCTCCTGCTTTGCTAATCGATCCGTTGGGCACTGCAGTATGTGGTATAGTTGTGTGTGTGTGTGTCTGGTTAGCAGATGGGCTAGCTTTGTCGCCTTTGTAGCTTAGGGCCTTGAGTCTGAAAGGCATTAGCGCTGTCCGTCACATATTAATTTCCAGCTTCCTTCAGCGTGGATACCGATAGTGGCCCGATACAGTTGCCCTCTCTGCCCCACGTGCCGATAAGCGGCTGCAGAGGTAACCTGACCCGTTGGCGATGATAAGAAGACTCTTTGATGAGCCTTGGAGACTCTCAAAGCAGATTTTACACTAGGCGCCATAAAGCAAAGTCAGGGGTACATTTAGCTAAATAGAGAAATTATATTATTCAGTATATATTCAATATAGATGCAATAATGCATTTAAAACATGTAAACTGTAGTAATAAACAATAATGCATTTTGGTGTGGAGGCAAACTTATTTTTAAGTTTAAAAGTTTCGTAACTGCATTAAAAACATTCATTAGCTTTAGATCTGTGGATTTCTGGAGCAGTTTTAGAATGAATTTTGATCCATATCAGAGCTTGAATAAAACAACGTGGTACAATACAAAGTAATCTACTATTTTCGTTTTGCTTTTTTTTTTTTTTAAATGGAAGCTTAAAGTCTAGAAAAAAGTATCACTGCATTATCAGGGATATCAGGGGTATTGTAAGTGGGTACTATTGATAGAATACATTCTCTTTTAGGTAAACTAAACTGGCGCATAAATAATGAAGGTAGTCTTTGCTGTGCGCTGTATCTGCATCACATTAGCACCTGCTCACTAAACACTTGCGAGTGACTCACCGGACGTTTATTTCACTTTACGAGACGATTACATAACAACAAGGACAAACAAAATGTTCGCATAAAGATACTCCATGTGTTCAGAGTTTTTTTTTTTAAGCTCTCATTATAAGACAATGTTTGTAATTTGTAAGTATATACAGAATAATTATTAGCCATCATGAAGAAGAGAGAAAAGCGTTGACTATGAGAGAATTATGGTCTTTTCGAATACTTCTTTAACTGATAACAGTAGCTCAGCCGAGATATGCTAAATTGGATAAAGGCCCCTAAATCTTGTTATTGTTTTAATTTCCATTTCCTGCCCTCCTCCAGTTTACCAGTTTGAAAGTCCATGATCCGGGTTGCCAGAACTCACCGCGTCGAGCTAATCTCACTGGTAAAGTAACGTGTGGTCGCAGAACTAAAAAAAAAGGTCTCGTTAAGATTCTCAAATCACTAATGACATAACAAGGAATGAAACAAGGATTTCTATTGGGGATAACTTTGGGGGTAACTGGTTCCATTACACATTGACAAACACGCTACGACTATATGAACCGTCAGCCTTTATGTCAATGTGTAATCGAACTGAAAGAGCAAAAAATGTTTTGACAAATTGTCTTTTTCCCCCTAACTGAACTCGACTTGGTCCAGTTAAAAGGAACCAGATCAACAAGCGTGAATATACCCTCAGAGTATAATTATTATGTTTACGTATGCGTTTTTGCAACAACTGTATTTACTCCAATAAATGTTGAAATGAGTAAAACTCAGACTTGTACCTCATAGGAGTAAACGGTAAAGAAAGGTTAAGTATTAAGGCAGATGTACTTGTCCACACAAACTCTGTTCCGTGTGAAGAAACACAGAGCATAGTTTTGGCCGCAGTTTTTCGCTGTATCATTCATATAACTTAAATATTAATACCACACAGACAGTGCCAATAACCATTAGTTTGTGACCAGGGTCAAAGAAATTACGAGGTACTTTATCATGGAGACATGTCTAAGCAAAAGTACAGTAACACAAATGTAATGACAGGAGTTGCGATGGAAATGCTTTCTTAGATTAAAAAATAGCTGAATATTATTCAAAACCTTAACGTTAACACAATTTTGACTGTCTTTCCCGTTTTTGCCTTGTGTCTTGTATTTTCTTAATAATTACTAATGCCTAGTCTCAGTGTCTCCACTTTCCAAACTCAGAGCAGTGGATTCAGCCTTGGCCAAAACAAACAGCTGTATAAAGTTAGCACTCTCCGTCAGTAGTCCATTTGTTTTATTTTGTCTCCTGTTTCTGCTTGTTAAATTAATGGGAAAAGTGTGCCGTCAATAACTTTCTATGTAATTTATGTATTTCAACAACATGCAAGAAATGGTTGGAAGAACTACCACGTAACGTTTACTAAATGGAGGCTTGTTTGTTTTGTTTTTGAATATTTAGATGTAAGTATAATGTAGAACTGTTCCAGTATTTTTCCATGTCTTCCTCAAAACTTTCACTTTTTAATTTGAAATATATTGTTCAATGGACTGATACAATGTTAATGTTGAAATGAAAGATGTGCTAAAAGGTTTGAGAAAGCCATGAATGAGCTGACTGACTTCAAATGCACTAAGAGAAACTACAGCTCCTTGTGTGTGTGTTTGTGTAAGTGCATACATGCCCCGTTATCACTTCCATAACAAATACGTAGTAAATGTACTTTTACATCAGTGGAAACTTGGAAGCACTGGTGGAGGAAATCGTTCATGTGTCATAAATTCAGCATCACATTAGAAATAGATAGTTTACTTTCAACAAACACACCTGTAACGGTTGTGTTTTTAATTAAATTAAGAGAAATTCTTCAAACACTGCTTCTACATTAGTGCTGATACAGTAATCATTAGGTAAAAGTGATCAATACAACACAATTACCACATTTTTTTCCACCCATTTATCAAACCTGGAGCTGCTTTATGACATAACAAGGTCAGTGGTGTTAATAATACCCCTCCAACTAATGACTTATTTTTTTCCATCATGCAGCATTAACTGCAGTGTCCTCTACTCATGGGTCCATCTCTGTGCCCGAACGTGAGATGAGGATGAAGTCAGAGCCGCTGATGCTGTCAGCCCTTCCCTTGGCACAAATAATCTTCAACAGCCCACTTCCCTTATTTACCACACCAGCATGGCAGCCAAAATCAGGGGGAAAATCCACTACACTCTCAGCGTAAAATACGCTTGACTTAAACATGGCCAAAGCAACTGACTTGGAGATGAGAAAAGCATCAATCATCAGTGCTGGGCTGTCAAAGTCACTGACAGCCCATAATATATGCTGTCACTGAGATCATGACAGCTAATTCTCCACCACTTCGAAGTCCAGTTAATACATTTGAGCCCGACATGATGTTCTACCACAATCTAATTACAAGCTAAATATACTTCTTGTGTCCAAGTACTTTTGAGGCATTACTTTTCGAGCTAACTTCAGCTGTGTCTTGTAGCCTAATGTGTCTGTAAAGTGATAGGGGACGGAACTCTCCAAGGACTCCTCACAAAGTCCTCTGTGTTTAGCAGGTAAATAATCAATGCAGAGCTGTTCCTGTGAAGCAGGAAGACAAACCCCACAAGGCTTTCCTGCCATTCGTCCAGAAAAGCTGCTGATTTTAAGGTCTGTTCGCTCGGCTGGTGGGCAGCTTTAAGAGATGACTCACTGAAAAAACAAGGTCCTACTCGATTTTCGCTGACATCAGCGCTGTAGTAAACCTGATTGGTAAAAGGTGGTGTCTTGTTTAGATAGTTTGCCCAGAATGCTAGACTGTAATAATCTATATTAGATCCAAATCCTAGGGTGTCCAAGAAGCATAAATCCTGAGTTTATAAACTTTTATTCCACGTGTGGCCCGGTTTAGCTCATGCTAATGTCTGCTTCTGGTCTCGGGTTAGGGTTTCATTGTGCTCCTAGGTTGTGTCTCGTCTGCAGAACTGACAGCTTCAGGTCAACTGGCCACATATATAGTCGATAAGGTCACCGTCTAAAATTTCATTGGTCAAATGGTCACATCTGGAGTGTAAGGTGGCAGTGTTCAGCACCCCTGTCAATCCCACTGTAGGCCACCAACAAAATCAACAGTTTGTCTTGGGATATTTCCCCCCTCAGTGTGGTCTTGTTACATTCATATTTTTCCATATAAAATCATATCGTCTAGAAACATATTACAATCGAGGATTAAATTATGCGTTACAAAAAATGTGTACACAAATAAAGTTTGATTTTTGAACCAATGTGTGCTGCACACACATATAACAACAACCATACATTAAGTGTACACATACAGATATAAACTGCAGCATATTCATACATAAACACACACCATCACTCATCCTCGTCCAAGTTTGGGTAAAGTTTATAACTCCAACTAAACATACTTGGCTTTGATCTTCAGTATCCTAAATGTACCTTTCGTTAAGCCTTGTGATGATTACAGTCACCCATGTTGCTTAGAGGAACCACCAACACATTTAAACCTAAGGCTCATTACCCCGTCGCTCCCTCCTCCCTCCCTCACACAAACACACACACACACAACTACCTCACAAACCCCAGTCTATAGAACCAGGGGACAGATTTACAGCCAGTCAGGGCCAAGGGTCATGTGGCTGGATGCTTTCTTGGAGTGGTCTTTTCTGCATTTTTTGTACTTCTTTTCTTTTCTTTGGAGGTGTCGGCTCCGCTCCCACACCTCCCCCTGCATTCCTCTCCTTTGTTTATTCTATATAAATACAATCAGGACCGCACTGGTATGGTTTGCCCTGCACACACACACATACATGTATACAGACACGCACAAACCCAGTGGGTTACAATGGGAGCTTGTCAAAGGCCCACAGTCATGACACTGAAATACCAAGACACCTGGAAGAGAGGATTCACTTTGTCACAAAAGGTAGGATGTGACAGATGCAGCTCGGGCGAAAGCTAGAGTTGTTGCACTATTCAAACACTCCGGCCTCATGTTGAATGTGTACAATACATTTCAAACCATTTCTGTCACTGAGTGGACAATCTTTAAAATACAGTGTCAAGATTCTATACAACTTTAGATTTCAGCTTGAAAAGCCTGAGATGCCACATGAAAAGCCAAAGCATTTGAAAATGATGCAACAGGACAAGCTGTCATGAACTTTTTTGCTTTCATTTTCTTTCGAGTGACAACCATACTCTGACTGTAACAACTCTCTAAATGCCATCATAATTGTACATACTTCATGTTAGACTTTGAATTTCTTATTATCTTCTTAATTTAGACTAGGTTGAATTTTAAAGTAATAACAGTATGTCGAAAAACCCACCTTTGTTCAAGAAAAGGCAAATGTTTTCTTTTGCTTTGAATCCATAATCTCTGCAGTTTTTCAATATTAAATGAATAATACTCCATGAAAACGCTGGTTGGTCAGGCCACACATGTTGGGAAGTATGTTGTAAAGAGCAATGTTATTAATAAGTTCTAGATATTTGCATGTAAATTAGAAAATTAAGTTATATTTTCACGTCAGTATTAGAAACAAAATGTCACAGCTAAGCTCAATAGGTATTTTTGGTTTAACTTCCCGTGATGGGAATCAAGTGCATCCGACATCTGTCCTTTATTAACAGTAAGGACAGTATGGTAATTGGATTTCACGCTTCACAATTCGCCGTCACATTTAGCTGTGCATTAGCAGTGTGGAAACGTAGACAGCCTTTTCCTGCATGAAATGACAATAAAAGAATATACGACTTTTAAATGTCCATTGTGGAGCGTGAGGGGAGGAAGCAGGGGGAGGCGGAGCAGGCAGAGTGAATGGGAGAGTGTGTGTGGTCGTGCCAGGCCTGCCCCAGTCTGTTGGTTAGGATACGGGCAAGAATGTGTATCCATCCCGTTTAAGGCCCTTTAATGAACATCCAGAGCTCTATTTTTTGTAGCGATGTATACAGAAGCTGAAGCACACACGCAGGGAAAACGGCAATGCGGGAATTTTTGTAACCTTTTCATAGTCAGTGTGTGGAGGAGGCATGTGATGGTCAAATATATTTTCGGCAACTTCCAAGTTTCTTACGTAATAGTGCTTTTTATTTATTTATTTTTTTACTAACTTTTGACGAACATTTTTTATTATACATCACTTTGATTGTATTCATGACTACAGTCGTTTGACAGTGAAGTTGACTCACTTCCACAGCCTCAGATGAAGCAAACATTTTTGTGGTTAAAAAATCAGGTTGACATAATTACATAATAACTTCAATTTGTATAATTTATTTAGAGTCTGTCAGTTAATCTAAATCAGATCTACCGGTCGACAAGTGATTGCAAGGCTAGCTTACTTATGGCATTCAGGGCCTCATTGCACGCATTTTCATTCCATATGCACACGGGAAATGAATCATCCAACTAGCACGAAAACTGAATGAAGACAGTCACCATACACACACACACACACACACACACACACACACACACACACAGTGGCAGTAAATCTGACAAAACATTTCCTCAACCTGTACATATGAGCACATGGGCCAGAGCAGCAAGTGGTGCACAATACATTTACAGTATGAGAGCACTGTTTTTTATGAATAAATTATCTAAATGTTGTGCGTGTACTTGTCATTTAATAATAATTTATAATAATTTATAATAATAATAATAATAATAATAATAATAATAATAATAATAATTTGAAACACATTAAGAACCAAAAATACAAAATAATAAATCTTGCATCAAACCGAGTTGTGACATTCTGAATACTTTTGCCCCTACGATGGCTCACTGGTTGCTTCAAAAATGGCTCATGCTTGGATGAAATCTCGATACCCCTAATATAAACGGTGGAGTCGGTAAAAGCAATGATTGATTCGCGTATCTAGTGATGCTAACATTGAACCAATCAATTGTTTAGAGCCGGCATATCTAATCTACGGCCCCCAGGAAAAACACTTGTAGCGGCAAGAGTGCAATGAGGGCCAACACAAGTGAAAGTGATAAAGTTGGTAATGAGACACCATATTAGTAAACCCACTAGAAATGTCTTGTCATTTGTTTATACAACACTTGCATCTTTATGGGGAACATAACGCTGTGTTTTTTTAGGGCGACCAAATGCTGAGAAATGCCTGTTACACTGCACTGACCTGTGTGGCTGCGGATGTGGACCCTCAGCGTGCCGTTGCTGGCAAACTTCTGTCCACAGTAAGGGCAGATCTTCTCCTTCTCCCCTGTGTGAGTCTGCAACCATAAAACACATGTCATTATTTGTTGTCACTGAAAACTGCAGATGGAAAATTATGAAATATAGTGTTTGTCAGTGGAACTTTCAATAAAAGATCAATGCATGTAGCAGATACAAACAGTAAAACTAGTGTTGCATGAATTAAAATAGTAATGGTACATTTGTAAGAGTGGAGCAATTTAGGAATAACTGCTTCTAGATCAAAGACTGTATATAATAACGGACAGAGTCACGCCTATCTCCGCCGTTCATAGGAGTTGGCCATGAAAAGTGCTTTCATGGAGCAATCCAAGATGGCCGCGAGTGGTCCCGCCCACAAGAAAATTGAGAACAAACGCATCTGCGCATGCGTCAACCGGTGCAGCTCCATTCATTTGAACGAGAGACTTCAAAAATTCACAGCGAGTAAACTAGAGTGGACCAAAAAATTCCACCCCCCTCAGCATTGACACACATGTGGAACGGAGCTTTGGGCCAAGAGCCAACTTTTGGTCCATCCTGTAAAGACGTTTTTGAGAGGTCTGCCAACGCTATATGTTAGCATTGGCTAATTCTACTTCTGGGTCCACCCCCATCGGCCCGGGGTGGTATTGCAAGCATGTCAGCGCACGTCATTTTGGCCACTTTTGAGCCGGGACCCGCCCCCACTGTTCTAGATCCAGAGGTTGTTGTTTAGTTGTTTGACATTATTGACTGATTATACAACAACTATTTGGGGTGATTCTCAGAAAGCTGTCATAATATTCTTTCTTGTTTTGTCATTTAGTTCAAAGCTGTACTTTCAGATATCCATCGCTGCATTGCCAGGCAGAGCCCAATTGATTTCTGCTGCTAAACTGTCAAACATAACGTCTTCAAAGATCCTCCGCTCCACATAGATACCACTGCCCCCCTGACCTCATTTCCATATTCTCCAGTGCGGTGTATGGAGATGTTGACATGACGCTGATCCTCCGAGTTGAGTGAAGCCAGGATCCAAGAGCAGAGTCCAAATCCCGGTGGACCTGCTCAGACCTTCATCTCCTCATCTTTCGTGTCCACACACAAGGCCAGAGTGCAGAGGCTTGAATGTGGTATAGAACGAATTACATCGTTGAATGTATGTTTGCCTAATAAATTCAACTTCAATCACTTTTGATACGGAGTAGTTTTTTACCCACATTTCATAATTATTTATATTTGTGCTTGTGTCTGCTGTATCAAAGATTAACAACACAAAAGCAACAGAGGAAGTATGAGAATAGTTTTGAAAACAGAGCAACCAGTGGCCTCTGGAAGGCAGGAGAATATACAGTGCCTTGCGAAAGTATTCGGCCCCCTTGAACCTTTCGCCACATTTCAGGCTTCAAACATAAAGATATAAAAAAAAAAATCATGAATCAACAACAAGTGGGACACAATCATGAAGTGAAACGAAATTTATTGGATAATTTAAACTTTTTTAACAAATAAAAAACTGAAAAGTGGGGCGTGCAATATTATTCGGCCCCTTTACTTTCAGTGCAGCAAACTCACTCCAGAAGTTCAGTGAGGATCTTTGAATGGTCCAATGTTGTCCTAAATGACTGATGATGATAAATATGCACCTGTGTGTAATCAAGTCTCTGTATAAATGCACCTGCTCTTTGATAGTCTCAGGGTTCTGTTTAAAGCCCGGCCGTCCCTCCAAACTTTTTTATTGTTAAAAAAGTTTAAATTATCCAATAAATTTCGTTCCAATTCACGATTGTGTCCCACTTGTTGTTGATTCTTGACAAAAAATTAAATTTGTATATCTTTATGTTTGAAGCCTGAAATATGGCGAAATGTTGAAAGGCAAAGGAATACTTTCGCAAGGCACTGTAAATGTATTTAAATCTTCAAGGAACAGAATACAATTGTAAAACATTAAGTCTATTTTCAAATAGAGTTTCCTTCCTTTTTTATTGCAGTAACATAACTACAGTGCATTGTTAAAGCAGTGGAAACATGCCATTTTATTGGAATAGTCTAAGGTAAACCGGTCATCCCACATCCTCATTGGGTTCTCCATATTAACCCCAAAACATGCATAAAAAGTCAAGCATGTAAGAACATTTTGTTTTTACAAAACAAGTTAAGCTAATGGTTTGAACTCCAACTTACTCTGTCACTCTTTGGGAACTGGAGAATTTCATGAATTAATCTTAATAAGTGAAGAACGCAGATGCGCCCAACCAAGCCGTTACACTATGTTCCACTTCAGCCTCTGTCCTCCTGATGCATAGTGTTGGGCAACAGTGAGTATGGAAAATTCAAACTTGGAGTGACAGTGTGAACAGCAGCGCAACAATACAGAGCTGCTCCTCTATGGGCCCCGAGTGCACTCCTCTGACACCTCTGGAGTCTCCTCACAAAAGCAGCCGTCTCACAAGCTCAAGTCCAGTCGACAACACCATAATACTCACTAAACAAAATAAACAATTGGTTGAACACGTCAAGACTCTTTCTATTCAATGAATTTTGCCTGTTGCTCCAGAGTGAATGTTTGTCATAATTCCAATCATAATCTAGATACAACAGAAATCGAGAGCGAATTATACACATAATATACATAGGTTACACAGGATTTGTTTTAGTATCAAGCTCTGTAGCCCCTGAAGGAAAATCCGCTCCTTTGATCCATTATTCTATCATTTCAAAGTGTTTATCCGTTTACCTTCTGGTTTTGTAAAGAACACCGAGTTGCTCTGTGTATAAACTGTGCTAAACAAATAACGTTGTTTTGTCATTGTTGCTTGGTGACTTACTTTTGACAGCAGACTTTTATTTAAAGTGACAAACAGCCACTGGTCATGTTGGAACACAGTGTTCCAAAAGGCACAGAGAAATGATTTATAATCATGCGACCGCCAACATGTTTTACATCTAAAAATAATATATAATTACAAGACACATTGTTTCGATACAGGGAGAGATGTCCCCTGCACCACTGAGGAGAAACACACACTGGAAGCCAAAGCTGCCAGAAAGTGCAGTAGACTGATTAGGTCGGATATGATAACACATTTTTGAAAGAGAAAACAAAAAGGTGGATGAGTTACTTTGTCACGGCTTTATCTCATCAACTTTTCCAATGGTTGTTATTTTCAAGCTGTAACTGAGATAAGCGCTGCACTCATCAGGATACGTTTCATTCTTGTTCACTAATCTATCCATAATTATTCTCCTTGAACTGACTTGAATGACCAGGATTTCTCTGCTTTCCAAACAACTCCTGTAGTTTGGTCTCCTGCGAAAGCCGACTTTGATCACAGGCCTCAGTTCCCCCTGTTAGCAGCGGGACAGATCAGATGCCTGTCTTCAGTCTTTCTGTTCTGGGACAACCTACGGGACTTTTCCTTTTGCTCGCTGCCAAAAAGCTGTTCGGTATCAATCTTGATTCAGACCCACCAAAGGATGTTGTCAAATGTAAGCCTCATATTCAGAACCCAGATCTGTTTTGGGCTTTGAAACCCTGCGGAGATAATGGACTAAGTGCCATTTCTAATCAACACTGGAGCTGAATCCAGTTCTCCATAGGCAGCAGTGGTCAAGATGGATGCCAGCGCTCTTGAATCTGTTTTATACATTAGTTGGTACCAGGAAGGAAAAGTAGCTTCAAAAATGAATTGAAAAGAAAAAAAACCTGAAACAATGTTACCACTAATGTATGTTAACTAGCTTAATACGTTTGATTGTCTTTTGATGTGCTTTAGTTCTGTAAAAAAGTGGCAAATGTCCAGTCTTTCCATTATTCCATGTAAATAGTAATAATCCTAATAGTAACTTTACTTTTAACTCCTTCTATCTTAGAAAAAGCTATACTTTAGAGATGTTTAGAAATGTTTTTGAAATGTTTTACAATGCCTTATTATACCATATTCTTCTCTACTTTTGACTTGATTGTGTGCGGCCAGTTATATGATATCACAACACTTTTGGTTCCACGTAATAAAGCCAAACCTTCTACAGGACAGTAAAATCGCCCGTTCCTCATTTCTGCATGTAATTTATGATTCATTTGCAAACAAACTGGTTGAACTCAATGACTCAAAGACTATAATGAACCCATAATGCAGTGCGTCCCGGTCTTTGTGGCTCACCTTCTTGTGGCTCTTGAGCACGGATGGCGTGACAAAGGCCTTCTCGCACAGGTCGCACTTGTATTTCTTGTGTCCGTCGTGTACCACCTGGATATGAACATTGAGCGTGTCCTTCCTCTTGAACGTGGCATCGCACTGGTCGCACTTGAATGTCCGCTCACCTGCAGGAAGAGGACACACAATTGTGAAGAAAAGTAAAATGACAAAAGAAGCCATTTTGAGCCCTTTTGCCAGTCTTTTGTTGTGCCTGTAAAAGCGCGGTCATCACGCACAGCAAGTGGGGACCCAATTTGAACCAGACAGTTGTGGGAGCAAGCAGAGTTTTTCTATTCACCAGACAAAAGACTTTACAATGGGCCAGTCTGGTTTTTAAGCACAACACTCTCCTTTATTGCAGAAAACTTTGTCGAAACAAACCGCTTTGTCATGTCTGTAGTACCAACTAATATATATTGAATATTGAAATAATCTAAGTCTTATATGAGGTCCCTACTTTTGTCTGAAATAACCCCATCTGTTTGTTGCAAGATAAAGTGTCTGGTAAAAGTAAAATGTTTTGAACAAATATAGACAATGTTATAAAAGCTGAAAGCTGCTTGGCTAAGTGAGGGTGCGCCCCGGGAACCAAAGTGTTTTAGGGCTGATAGACAGTTTGATTTCATTACATTCATTTTTTGTTCACATTTTTTCTGCAATTTGGAATGAACTTTGCTCGATATAAAACACACATTTATGAAAAATACTCAAAAATTTGTGTTTAACTTATGACACAACCCTTTTGCATTTAATTCTGCTATAATCTGTTTGGAGTCATAAGCCTTCTTTTGGGCATAGTTTTGGGCTGTATATGGATCAAAAACTGATTCTACTAATATTCAATTAGTTACATACAGTATAATCAATTCATTTGTTGCCGCCCTCTTACCTTATCAAAACACAGCTCAGTTCATTTCACTCCAAAATGTCAGATAAACTGGTTCTATACAGCAGCCGCTCTTGTTTCCATTATACATACATAGATCATTCAGTTTGTACAGAGCCGAGACCGCATGTGTATTTATTGCCAAGGCCAATGATGGTCAGCTCAATAGAGTGAACAGCGCTGAGAGACGAGTCTATTGCCTTTAAATTAAACGGAAACATTCACTTGAGAATAATTAATGTTGTCCTTGTCCTCACTCAACACTTTGCGCTCGGATGGAGCAGGATGTTGCTCTAGTATCGAACATGTGCTGCCATTCACAAAAGCACGACTCTGAAAACTGCAAGTGGTCAAAAAACTTTGGTCTAGAGTCCCCCAAAACTGATGAGTTTTCCATCTAAATCAAACAACTTTGCTACACGACAAGCAGGACCAGTAATTAGTGTTAATGTACAAGAAAAAAAGTCTGTAAACGATCTCTCCAGCCGCTCACGTTGATGTGTAGTGAAAATGGCAGTTATTTGGTTCTTCTATAGCAGAAAATTATAAAATAGCTTCTGACAATGTACTGTATATACCCTGGTCTAGAAGAACAAAATGACTTTATTATACTAAGAAGAGAAGACGTTTCTTAAATTGTTGCTCGAGAGGCTCATGATACTGAGCTTGATTTTGTGTGGCAATTTTACGCATATATATTAGATTCAGTTTGAACATTTTACAGATATCTTCTCACTTCTCACCTGATCCAGAAAAATAAACACATCAGTCTGAGGAAGAGGGTATACTTTATAGACAACACTTTATACTTGCTTCTTACTCCTTATTTTATGTAGTAGAGAGTTGTTGTTGTTAATTTCTCTTGTGCTGTGTGCTACTCATTTCTACTGTTCTGTAACTGGTGATGCAACACTGAAATTTCACCACTGTGGGACAAACAAAGGATCATTTAATCTCTCTTAATCTTAATCTTAGACCGAAGATGAAGCTTGTAAACACTGTACACTACGATATAATCAAACATTAGGAGCAGCCACGTGCAATAAACAGAAAATCCAAGCCATCCTATTGTTTGCTGCTGTTAGCATTAAGGATATGTTATGATATTGTATTCAATTTAGATAAAAATGCCTATTCTAAATTGTCCATCCCAACAAAAAGAGTCTTGTAAAACTGAAATATTGACAAATTAGAACACAAAAGGCAGTCTTTATTTTATCAGAAATGATCAAAGTTAGTGTGATGAAATCTGTAATGTCAATCTAAACCTGGATTAAAACATGACCTGGGGTGAGCAACAGTGGAAGAAACAATAAAAACGTTTGAAAATACCTCATTAAAGAGTAAACACGCTCTAAATGAAGCTAAATTGTTCCCTGAGCCCCGCTGCTGTTCTGTTACTAGTAGAACTTAGCTTGAACTTAATGACTTCGAGCTGTCCTCATGTTGTCTCTAATTCCGCCACATTATTCCGCTCATTGAAACCAGAGCCTCCCGTCCCACATTCAGTGCATGTGTTGATACTTTATCCAAATCCTGGTATTAGATTGCGTGCCTCCTGAGACAAGGACAGGAAATGCCTTGAGCTTTTACAACCCGTTTTGTTATCTCCTTTATACTTCTGTCTCCCCACCATTTATGATTTTTCGAGGCCAGAGCAGCCACCGAGCGCATAGTGCCGGCCAGTGGTATCAGCCCAGTGGGAGGTTGACACAGGAGAGGGATTATGGGATAGCTGTTATAGTAAATATGCGCAGATTAAAGACTATCAGCGCATGAACACGCTCGGAAAAAAAAAAAGTATTTCATCCATCGTCCTTCAACATGTCTGAGGGGAAAAGTGCATGCATCTGGACAAAGGATTACAGGGCCAGCGTTTGCAGATAAAACGTGCAAATAAAAAGCATTGTCGTCTAACATTTGGGGTTATTGAGGGCACGGGGGAGAGGAATAATGCGTGTAATAACAGAGAGACGACAATAAATCAATCTGTGTAAAATTATCGCATTTGAAACGTTATACAAGTTGTCTAGAGCTTAAGGCATTTCCCAGAAGGCACGGGCCAGACCAAAGCGTATTGACGATGCTTCATCCATTCTTTCTTTTCAACTGGGTCCGGCAAAAAACTGAACTAAGAAGTGTTTGATTAAGCAATTAAGTTACATTTTGTGATATTGCGTTGCTTTGAAGAGACATTGGTCCGTGCTCAAGAGTAATTTGGAAGTCTATTTCATTTCTTCCAGATGTGGCTGTCGCTGCATTTGCAACTAATTATGAAAATAACAGCTAGCGTCAAGTTGAAGCTAAATATTTGAACTAAAAATAAATAATACATTACTGCGAATCTTTTCTGTGTTGTGTGTTACATGCAAACAAAGGACATGTTTTTATCAGAGTAACACTCTACTTTATCTAATCTAGAAATAGGAACAGCCACAGAAACTGGAAACAGCTGGTGATAAAGACAGTGTTTGCCAGAATAATGTTATCTCGGCATTGATGGAGATCTGTGTCAGCCCAAGGACCATTGTAGAAAAAAAAAAGGAAAAAAAGATACCAGTAAATATATTTTGGAGGTAGATTTTTATTTTTATTGTTTTATTTTTTACACTTATTCTCTACCATTTCTTCTGAAAGTCAGTTGATCAATTGTGCCTACAAAGTGAGTTGTTTACCAAGTTGGTGAGAGCTTTCCACTGTTTTAAATGATCAATGTTTATAATCCTTTACTTTTAACGGCTGGGCATTATTTGCTCGCAGACGCTCCAAATGTACAACATACTTTGGCACTTTTGGATTCGTTTAAGTAACCCTTTGCAGTTCAACGACACTCCATGATACTCACTATTGTGGATGAGTAGGTGACGCTGCAGTGAAAACGGGGTCCTGAATAAAGCTTTGCACTCTTCACACTGAAAGGGCCGCTCTTCTGAGTGGGTCTGGAAGAGGAAGAGGAGAAAAACAGAAGGTAAGAAAAGTGAAACAAGAAAACAGAGCTGTCGAGATGCAATGTAATTTTGTTCTGAGTGTGCGTTGTTCTTGATGTGCATCTGAATGACAAAAAACAGGGAAAGTCATCACATTTCAGCTCAGAAAAAAAAAATATATAGGGTATTTTTTTATCACGATAGTGGGTCAATCTGATCCAAGAACAGTAGGATCATCCATATAAAATAGAAACAACCATTTATCTGGGTTTCCTAACATCCGTGTTATTTCTAGGAGCGTGTCTAAATGCAAGTGAAGCTGGCCTTCTTAGCGCACTGTTGGAGAGAGGATTAAGGTCTGCAGATGAGTTTGTGTTTGTTGACTTGATGAAGACGAGCAGCTCTAGGGCCCAAGGTTCAAAGTGCTTCTGTTTTCGTGGCCCCCTCCAGCCGCCGCACTCCGATCTATCTGAATGACACCTCAATCCCCAAAGTAAACAGCAGGACAGACCCCACACTCACCAGACCTCAGGCCTGAGTGACTGAGCTGCAGCCTCCACATAATGAACAGTGATCTTGATGGGAATAATCACTCAGTCTGGCAAACTTTTCTCATAAATCATATTGTTCTCGTGCTGGAATAGATCATTACACTACTTCATATGGTCTCACTAAATCAAAAAGAAAGCTTAAGTCAAAGCTATGAGAACTAACCAACTACCATATCCAACAACTGCTGTATGGATATTAGTTAAAAGGTTATTTAAATAATACCTCTAAATCTTACAGTGTACTTTATGCACTTGTATATAGTAGTACATTTAAGAAATGTTATGAAGATTTTTTTTATGAGTCTTATATCTATTCTTACTTTTATAACTTGTTTGCACCAAAAGCCAAAAGCAAATTCCTAGTTTGTGATTTCCTGTTTCTTACAATGGCAACACAAATAATTCTGATTCTTTTAGGTGGTAGAAATTTTCAGATTTTTGGATGAGAAACAGACTAAAGATGGAGCCCTGAAACACTGTAAGAGATAGAAGAGTACTAAAATCAATCATTTAAATACCTTTCATAATTTTTATTTTATTTAAGAAAAAATAAGCCAGGTTGTTGTAGAAATTATGATGTAACATTCTGCTACTTTTGCACCTAAAAGCTTTTAAAGGGCTATCAAATAATTCAGATTGTTCAAACTTTTTCTTCAGAGGGCCACTTTAGTTCACCAGACTTGTCCAAGAGCTGTATTATAAAACAGCTTTGACTGGAAGCTGTTCTGAGCTTTAAATGAGGTATGACATGAGGTCCTCAATGATTCACATTTAACGGGGCTGAAGTTGGCTGAATGAAAAAAATATATAATTATCATTGTTGTGCCATTATCACAATTTAATGTAGGTATAATTAAACAGAAGAATACAGAATTGAAGAGGTTCTGTATCGGTGGAGATGAAGTTGGCTGGAAGTCAGAACGCATGTCCATGATTGCAATGGCTACTTTCATGTTATCAAAGCAAAGGGCCACAAAAAATGACACAGCATTCAGCTCCGAGGCCTTAACTTGGACTGCTTCAAAACATTTATTCACTGACAATCACAGGCTGAAGTAAAACAAACATTGGAATCATCATGAAGCAGACTCACCTTCTTGTGATTCTTGTAGACGTTTCGATGAGCGAACTCCTTCCCACACAGTTTACATTTGTACGGTTTGTCTTCACTGTGGATGATCTTATGAGCCGTGACCTGGTCCAGCCGCTTGAAGGAGCGGTTACACACCTCACACGTGTACGGACGCTTTTCTGCGTGGGCAAAAACATGTGCGGTGAAAGAGTCTCTCATGTAAACAGGAAAAAGCTGGAGAGTTAGAGGTGCGTTATTTACCCGAGTGTGTGATCATGTGGCGTTTGAGCTGGTTGGTGGAGATGAACTTCTTGTCGCAGTCGTGACAGTCAAATATTTCATGTATCTGCAGTGGGGAAAAACAAAACATTGATTTGTAAAGGGGCGACAGTAGCTCAGTTGGTAGAGCACTGGCCTTTGAGCCTGAAGGTCGTGGGTTCAAGCACCACGGGACCTTCTCCACCGACTCCCACTGATGACTGCTGTCGTTGTGTCTTTGGGCAAGACACTTAACCCTGCATTGCCTGAAGCCCCCGCTGAAAAATCAAGGCCGTATTGTCACTGACAGAGCAGCCGTCCTCCTGTGGACTCACCACCTGCAGAGGATCAGTGAGGGGCTGGTGCTATGTGAATTGGGTGCAGCTCTGACTGCCACCCCCCAACCCAGAAATGGATTAAGGGGAAGAAGATGGATGGATGGATGGATGGATGATTTGTAAAACTATGTAAAACTATGTATGACTTTTCACACAGTTAACATTATAACTGAGATTCAGATCATCAATATCGAGCCTATATCTCATCCCATATTTTGACATTTAGAATTGTAATAGTTGTGGGGGTGTAACCCAGCAACATTGTTAACCTGAAGAAAGACTGGTCTATATCACACTGACAGCTATAGTCAGAAAAGTTATTAAAAATATGAAAAGTTTTAAAACATACAATACAATACAAATTGTACAAAGAATGGTTCCCAGGCGAACGACAACAATAGCATATGCTAATGCAGTGGCTCCCACTTGTCACAGCGGCTAATGCAAAAGTGAGTTCAGTTAAATGATGATAATAGCAGCGGCACTAAGCTTCTTTGGCGACTTGGCTGTTCCACTGTGAAACGAGTGTTTAATTAAAGAAAATCTAGTGTTTTCACCAAACTTGTGGCAAATCTGTAGTAATAACTGGAAGACTTCATCAACTTCCTCAGTTGAGAAAAACCACGTGAAAATGTTTTTGGTCTGTGTGTGGTATAATAAATGAAGTTCCCGAATAGCTCTGCGTCTAACTAATTTGACAGAAACAAATGAGAGCCCCTTAATTAATCAGTATGATGGATGTTAACCAGACAAAATTAATGATCAACATAACAGGACAAGTTAATGAATTAAAGATGATCCATCATAGTCTTATTACTAGGGTCAAGACCAAATATGGCTGAGATCCAAAGGAAGCTATCAACTTGTACGTGAACTTGTGAAATTATTACTTCTAAAAACCCTGCTACTTCCTACAACTGCTATAAACGGATGTGCAAACGCAAACATCCAACAAAAACATCACCTGGATAATTTGTGCAATCTTTTATAAGGATGAAAAAGCTAGCACGCAAAATGTGGCTTAAAAAAATAGCCACATTTTTTGACGATCGCAGAAATGTCATGAAATCCAACCCTAGCTTTTTCTGTGTTATAAAACAGGTTAAATATGTGAGATTGTCCAGCTGTATAGAAGAGAAATTGAGAAAGTAGAGAGACTTAGCAGCAAAATGGATGACGCCAAAGTTTAATCTGCTCAAATCCTTGGCTCCAAAGTGACTGAGCTGCTTTACCTTTCGATGCTCCTGAAGGTTCAGAGAAGACGAGCACTTTCTGTTGCATATGTTGCAAGTCAGTTTCCGCCGAGCACTGCCTGCAAATACAAAGAAATACACTAGATAAAAGACAAATAACAGTATACTTATATAAGAGTGAGAGTAAGTGACTTCTTAAAGAGATACTTTATAGAGATACACTGCATGATACAATTTTCAAGTTTTATCCATGAATAGTATTGTCCCAGTAAGAATATTCTAGCTGATGGTTTTTGTGACTAAATTAAATGAGGTTTTCTGTGGGCTGGTGTATTTGTTATTACTATTATTCATTCATTCACATTGTTTTTTAACCACACAAATAAAACTATTAGTTATCAGATAGTTCCTCAGTCTAAAAATGCAGCTCTCAGGACGTAAAAGATCAATTATTGTCTTTAAAAAATCTGACAGCAAGTCTGAATTGTTCACAAACTCCTTCTTTTGGGACAAACACATTTTGTATGTGAAACAACAGGTTACCCCAATTACATCAACTTGATTTAATATTGCATACATTGTTGAATAGGTTTAGTCACTATTTTCAGAAAGTCAGCCCTGTGCTGCAATTAATCGGTGAAAAGATTCAAATGCATTCAACAACATTTGTGTACCAGTTGCGTGTTGCTTGTAAATGGTGGATGTAAGTATTTTGGCCAAGGTCCAGTTTGATCAAAGTAAGTTTCCTTATATTTTGTTATTGTAGCGTGCTGTAAAAGGACTGGGCAAAACCATAAAACGTGTGGAGGAACAAAGAGCATGGCAGATTCTCATAATAAAACTGTGATCATCTGTGAAGTCGTTATGTCATAAATGAAAACTCACTACAAAAGAAATAGCAAAGGTTTTACTCATCAGACTGTATTTTTATTCACCCGATCCTGACCACACCGGTGAACCATGAAGGCCCTAGTCCACGCTCTAATATACTGATTCTCAACCAGTGGTGCTGCTACCAATAGAACTACGCAGACGCCTCACGGTGACACTAAAAAGTTTATTAGGTTAGTTCTGGGTTTTTTCTTGGTTTAGTCTTGATTTACGTTCACACAGACTTGGTTCACGTCAGAAACCAAAATCCTCTGAGGTCACCAGTGGACCGATGTATAGTGTTTAGTGCTTTCATAAGTCCAAAAAAAGGCACAATTACTGTAGCCCCAGATCTTACTTTTATTGGACGAAGTGACGCACCCTCAATCATTGGCTTGTTTTGTTGTAGAACTGGATTTGTGGTAAATCACTATGATTTTAGCCAGAATATGCTCAGCAAGGTGTCACTTTTTCAATCTATATATCATTAAAAACCATGGCTTTTGTCTGGCCCTTTAAGTCGGAGCAAGTGGGTATTTACTACTGTGTAAGACATACGCAATAGTTTAGCCTGAACAAGTACATTCCTAAACTCTCATTGAGCTCCAATTGCTTTGCAAAAAGTGATTGAAAATAAGTAAAGAATGTATCTTAATTTGAGTACGTTCTGACTGATTTAATCAATGATCTTGTTTTAAAAAGATACAAGTAAAGTTTCCCTTGGAATGAGAAAATATGAGGCTTTGTCCCAATGGCAAATCTTGTTTTAAGAAAATTAAGTAGAAATACCATTCAATTCAAGCATGGGACCCCGAAAAAGTCCCATAGAACACAATGTAAACTAAAACAGCTCAACCTCAGCTGACAGAGAACCTACAGCTTTCATAAAGATCGGAATTTGTGGGGATTTTAGTGTCCCTTGTCATCCTGAAATCCACACTTTACTGCAACAAACTCTGCTCCTTTCCATCCCGCTCTGACTCCGCTCTACCAACGCTTTGATCAGCAGCTCTGATTGGTCAGAGCGCGGCCGAGCCCCTCTGTGCACGTGCATATTTGGCACAACGCATCATGGGAGCTCGTCCACTGCGCAGAACCGGGAGGACCAGACAATGCCCAAATATAGGTGAGTTCAGCTAATCTCCCTGTCCCCGTGAAGTCCCATGCGCCACTGAGCACAAGCCATTCATTTGAATAGGGCACCATCTTGGATCACTGGGGCTTGGGTTACAACCAGAGGGACGTACCCCAGCTTCAAAAGGTCCATGAACATGTGTGCTGACATACTTGCAATACCACTCCGGGCCAGTGGTGGTGGACCCAGAAGAGAATTATCCAATGCACTTTGTATGGTGTCTTCTTACCACTCAAAAACTGCTTTACAGCCTGGTCAAAAAGTCGGCTCAGAGATGCGTGTCAATGCTGAGCGGAGTATTTCTTTTTTTTTATCAGTTTAGTTTAGCCGGTGTGGCCTTTACAATGCACTCGTCAAATGAATGGGGCTAGTGCTGGCTAATGCATGTGCTTTTTTTTTTTTTTTTTTTTTTTTATTGCGGTGCCTTTAAAACACATATTTCACTGCTGTCTTTGCTGATTACATTACTTGTGTACTGCACCAGAATTAGAAGCCTGAACAGGAGCTGAGGTTTTCTGGAAAAACATCACGCTGTATTCCCAGTCCCTTGTCCTTATTGTAATAATAAAGTGATACTTGGTGCGACAATAGTACGTATCTCAATTATGTTCATGTCTAAAACTGACCTCTTAATCTTGAGTCTATTCTAAACACAGCCCTCACATTTCCCCTCTGCCTCATATATGATACGGAACAGCGGAGTAAGAGCAATTACGTGAGCGAGTGAGCCGCCCAGAGCACCCAGGTCAGCAGTTATGAAGCCCGAGTAATTAGACAAGTGTCTCGACATGGCGGGGATTTTAAATGATCCCCGATGAGCCCTGTGCTGCACTTCCTCGAGAGCTGATTCTGCTAATGGGCGATTAACTCATGTGATGTTTGAAGGGGGAGGAAAATGGCCTGTGTGGGAATATGTCCGGGACATGAGCAGGAAGGGAGGAATGTTTTACCCCTGTGATGATGACCAAATGGCTCTGTCATCCAAAAACAGGGACAGAATATATTAGAGTGTAGGTTTATGGCTGTAACTGCACAATATTGTAGGCACAGTTTAGTATACATCGTTTTCTCATGTACAAAACTGTCTTAACTGGAATGGCGAGGTTTGCTTTAACCCTTTCATGCATGAATTATGATAGGCTCCCCAAGTGTTTTAATTACTCTTGAGGCATGAAAAGATAGAAAATGTTTTAATTTTGAAAAAACATGAATTCTCCATGGAGTTGGTGACACGTAGAGTGGACAACGTGCATTTGAGTCACGGAATAAGAATACTGTAAAGACCATAGGACATTTTGATTTTATCTTTAGCATTGTATTTTTCTTATTTTAACACATTTTTTTTCCAAAACTGTAAAATGTTTTTACATTAACCAAAGAAAAACACATTTGTGGCACTGACTAAATGACTGAAATACTATAATGAACTTGGCTGGTACTAATCATCATAGAACTAAGACAAGACATTCAAATCTGCATGGGCTTGTACATCTAAGTTATTTGAGTATGACATGACCAAATTAATCCATAGAAACTTCTTCAGTTCACCCAGTGTAATGCCCAGTAGTTATTTTCCATTTTGCAATGCATTGAGGTCTGAGTTGTCCACTATATCATCAATCAGCTCATTCGGAATTTGAGAGAGGAGCCCCAATTGATTTCTTCATTCATCAATCTTCACCTACAACTCTCCTAAAAAGTAAAGAGTAAATTGTCCTTCAAATGTATTATCTTTGGCTTTGGCAGACATGCTATCTATATTTTTGTGTTTTTGAGTTTGGTCAAGTCGGACAGCACCATCTCCTTCAGCCACTGAACATAACCTCAAAGGCCTCAGCATCTTCAACTTCACTGTCTCCAACTTCACTGTCTCCAACTTCACTGTCTCCAACTTCACTGTCTCCAACTTCACTGTCTCCAACTTCACTGTCTCCAACTTCACTGTCTCCAACTTCACTGTCTCCAACTTCACTGTCTCCAACTGTCTCCACTTCACTGTCTCCAACTTCACTGTCTCCAACTTCACTGTCTCCAACTTCACTGTCTCCAACTTCACTGTCTCCAACTTCACTGTCTCCAACTTCACTGTCTCCAACTTCACTGTCTCCAACTTCACTGTCTCCAACTTCACTGTCTCCAACTTCACTGTCTCCAACTTCACTGTCTCCAACTTCACTGTCTCCAACTTCACTGTCTCCAACTTCACTGTCTCCAACTTCACTGTCTCCAACTTCACTGTCTCCAACTTCACTGTCTCCAACTTCACTGTGTCCAACTTCACTGTCTCCAACTTCACTGTCTCCAACTTCACTGTCTCCAACTTCACTGTCTCCAACTTCACTGTCTCCAACTTCACTGTCTCCAACTTCACTGTCTCCAACTTCACTGTCTCCAACTTCACTGTCTCCAACTTCACTGTCTCCAACTTCACTGTCTCCAACTTCACTGTCTCCAACTTCACTGTCTCCAACTTCACTGTCTCCAACTTCACTGTCTCCAACTTCACTGTCTCCAACTTCACTGTCTCCAACTTCACTGTCTCCAACTTCACTGTCTCCAACTTCACTGTCTCCAACTTCACTGTCTCCAACTTCACTGTCTCCAACTTCACTGTCTCCAACTTCACTGTCTCCAACTTCACTGTCTCCAACTTCACTGTCTCCAACTTCACTGTTCCAACTTCACTGTCTCCAACTTCACTGTCCATCTCCAACTTCACTGTCTCCAACTTCACTGTCTCCAACTTCACTGTCTCCAACTTCACTGTCTCCAACTTCACTGTCTCCAACTTCACTGTCTCCAACTTCACTGTCTCCAACTTCACTGTCTCCAACTTCACTGTCTCCAACTTCACTGTCTCCAACTTCACTGTCTCCAACTTCACTGTCTCCAACTTCACTGTGTCCAACTTCACTGTCTCCAACTTCACTATGTCCAACTTCACTGTCTCCAACTTCACTGTCTCCAACTTCACTGTCTCCAACTTCACTGTCTCCAACTTCACTGTCCCAGCTGATATGAACAGATTTTCCTCCTTCACTAAGCACATTTTCTCTTTTGTCGGCCATCTTTTTTTGAGAGATTTTTTTACATTGCCTATTTACCAGAATGTAGCAGTGCATATGGCAAGACACACTAGGGTCCACTATAGTGAGTAAAGTGCAACTGTGACTTTAAAAGTCACACATATGGAAGAAAACAACCATTGAATAGCTGTCCATTGTAGTGACCACTATGCATGAAAGGGTTAATATCAATTCTGCTGGTCTACCGTTACTTGGCAATATGTGTTTGGCTCAACAGAAAAAAAATAAAACCAAAATACAAAATTAAGCCGTACCTTACTATAAGCCGCAGCCTTCAAAATGCAGAAAAAAAGCTGTGGCTCATAGTCTGGAATTTACGGTAACTAGTTAATAAGATAGTTTATAAACCTGGGGAACACAATTTCACATTTCTTTACACTAATACAGCAAAGTAACTCATTTTAACTGCTGAAATAAAGTGGTCTGGGCATTGCTTGTGATGTTATTTCAGATATTTGTTGATCGTGTTTTGGTCTATACAAATGTAAGTAATATTTATTCATAAAGCGCATTTAATAGTCACCCAAAGCTCTTTAAAATGTTGGTGGATTGATATTTTCCATTCACATTCACTCCACACAGTGATCAAAGCCCCGAACCATCACAACCCATTCACTCTCTCATTATATACGTTCCTATTGAAGAAGTTTTTAGTGTTAGGGGGAAACCGGAGCACCTGGAGAAAACCTATGCAGCCACCGTGTCGCCAAAGTGAATTGATTTACCTGAGTGGACATTTCCTTTATGTTTTTTCAGGGCGTCTTTGCTTTTGAATCTTTTCCCACAGCTTTCTGCTTTACATATAAACCTGGCGTCTCCTTTGCAGGCTTCTTTATGCTGCTCGTAACTGGGGAAAAAGCAACTCATTAGAAAAACAAAAAGTTGAGAAATTACAACAAAGAACTGATCAAAGTCTTGCCCACTGACCTGGACTCTGAGCTGAACGTGTTGTGGCACAGCGAACACTCGTGTGCTTTGGAGTTGCTTGAAGGATCCAGCGATTCAGAACAATGCAAAACACTGAAACAGAATTGGACGTTCAGCTTTAGTTTCAGTTTCAGTTTATCATTTATTATTGGGGTGAATGAGTGTGTTTGTGAGTGCGACTGCAGGACAATGGATGCAAATTAGCTACAGGCTACAATCCGAAGAAGTGTGTTAACTTATAGTTACTCAGTCTCAAATTTCACCTCTCAGTGTGTCAAAGATGAATTGAAGATTGAAAAAAAAGTTGGTTCTGATTTCTTCACAAAATGTTTCTTTTTCAAAACGTTTTACAAGACTCTTTCTGTTGGGACAAACACAATGTACTGTATATATGAACCCCAAATTTAACCCTTTAAGCGCCAGAGTTTTTTCAAGAAAATATAAAATTTTGATTTCAAGATTTCAAAAGGCTATAACTTTAAAATGGTTTGAGATAAAGGCATACTGTAAATTAGAAATATCTTCAGTCTGAACCAAACTTTGGGATGGAAGTTGATTCGTCATCTAATTTGCATATTCTGACGTCACATCCAGGTGGCGGCCATTTTGGAAAATGTTAATTATTGTATAAAGACTTCAAAAAGCTGTAGCTTGGGAGTTATTTGAGATCAGGGAATACTATAAACCATGGGTTCCCAAACTAAGGCCCGCGGGCCGGATACGGCCCGCCACGCCTCTTTGACCGGCCCTCCACCTCTGAGCAGCTAGTTGCAAAAAAATAAATAAAAAAAATAAATGTATTTTATATCTTTTATTTGGTTTTAGATAACACTAAAATATTTGTATTAACCATTTATATTTATATAATTGCATGTGTCTGTATTATTTTTATGATTTATCGTTATGACCGAATTTCTTCCACCTCACTGATCGAGGAAGTCATGCGCAGAGAATAGCAGCAGTTGAACAGCAGTGCAATGGCGTGCAGTAAAGTGAGGAAAATTGATCGAGAGTGCCGGGTTTTTAATGAACAATGGACCAGGGATTATTTTTTTGTTCCATGGAAGGACCGTGCCATTTGTATTATATGTAAAGAAAACGTGTCCGTGTTTAAAGAATACAACCTTCGCCGCCATCACGAAACCCGTCACAAGGAGTATGCTAGCTTGAAAGGGGCAGCGAGAGATGACAAAGTTCGGCGACTGAAAGGTGGTCTAGCAGCTCAGCAGGATGCCCTGCTCCGTCAATCACGGGCCAACCTGGCTGCTGTCCGAGCAAGCTACAAAGCAGCTAACCTACTGGCTATTCACGGCAAGCCGTTCACGGACGGTGAATTCGGGAAGGCTATGATGCTGGCTGTGTCTGAGGAAGTGTGCCCCGAGAAGACGGATACCTTCAGAGGGGTGAGTCTCTCGGCACAAAGCATGACTAGGCGAATTGAGGAGATGGGGGAAAACGTCCTTGACCAACTCAGAGAGAAAGCGAAAGATTTTGTTTTTTTTGCTTTAGCCATGGATGAGAGTAATGACGTGAAGGACACGGCACAGCTCTTGATTTTTATCCGTGGTGTTAACGCTCGTTTTGAGGTATCAGAGGAGCTAGCATCTCTGAACAGTTTAAAAGGGACAACAACGGGTGAAAACATATTCGCCGAAGTTTGCAAAACAATGGACGAGCTTGGTCTGCAATGGACGAAGTTTGCCAGTGTTACAACAGATGGTGCGCCTTGCATGGTCGGATCGACAAGGGGGCTAGTAGGGCGCTTGAACGGCGAGTTCGAGGAGCGAGGTCTCGCTCCACCGATTCAAGTTCACTGTTTGATCCACCAGCAAGCGCTGTGCTGCAAAGTGTTAAAGTGGGCGTCCGTGATGAAGGTGGTCCTGCAGTGTGTCAACTACATCCGGAAAAATGGGCTGAAACACAGGCAGTTCCAGGCCTTTCTCTCCGAATTGGGGTCTGCCTACCAGGATGTGCTGTACTACACCGAAATTCGATGGCTAAGTCGAGGCAAAGTATTGCGCCGTTTCTACGACCTGCTGCCCGAAATTAATACCTTCCTCCAGTCTAAAGGTGAAACGGTACAGGAGCTGACGGACCCGGGGTGGAAATGGGACCTCGCGTTTTTAACTGATGTGACTGAAGTGTTGAACCACCTCAACCTACAGCTCCAAGGCAAAGGGAATCTCATCAGTGACATGTATTCCCACATAAAAGCATTCGAGGTCAAACTGCAGCTCCTTCTGCGACAGGTCCAAAAGCTGGACTTCACACATTTCCCTGCCACCCAAATGTACTGCGCCGAGAAACCAGCTGCCCCTTTCCCTGTCGCGAAGTGCAAGGATGCCCTGGAGATGCTGCAGCGAGAGTTCAGTGTGCGCTTCCGCGAGCTTCATGTCAACAACAAAGACATACGTCTGTTCCAGAACCCGTTTGCTGCTGACATAGACGACGCACGTCCCTCTCTTCAGTTTGAACTAGCCGAGCTGCAGAATTGTGATGTCCTTAAAGACGCATTCAAGCCTGACAGCCTACTTGAGTTCTATGCTGCTCTACCAGAGTGCACATACCCAAACATCAAACAACATGCTCTGAGGATGTGCACCGCATTTGGCAGCACCTACACGTGTGAGCAGACGTTTTCCCGCATGAAGCAAATAAAAAATCCAACGAGGAACAGACTCTCAGATGAACATTTGCATCAAACTTTGAGACTGGCAACCACTAGGCTACACCCAGACATCAGACTTCTCGCCAGCCAGAAGCAGGCACACAGTTCACACTGATAGGTAAATATACTGATTTTAACTATTACAATTTTATGTGGCTGTAAACATGCATATAAACACGGACTATGCTTTTTGATGAAATATGATTGTTTTCATTCCATGTTAATGAATAATGCTACACTGTGGCCTATTTGTAAAATCACATCAAGGAACAACAGGCAGCATATCTAGAATTATGATTCAACTGAATGTGTCCAATCTCATCCCTTTATGCCAGGTTTCCAGGCAGCAGGAGAGGGGACTGCAACTGCTGACCTCAAAGATCACTGCCCATCACTTACCTGCCCATCCATCCTTCATCCCACCTTGGTTACAGCAAGTACAAATTCACTGCACATATTGCTGACTTCTGTTACTCTGTTATTCTGTTACTCTCTTCCGAGTGCAAATTGCTCTGTCTCTCATCTCCTCTCAATCTCTTCTCTCAGCATCTCTCTCTCTCTCTCTCTCTCTCTCTCTCTCAGCATCTCTCTCTCTCTCTCTCAGCATCTATCTCTCTCTCTCAGCATCTCTCTCAGCTTCTCTCTCTCTCTCTCAGCATCTCTCTCTCTCTCTCTCAGCATCTCTCTCTCTCTCTCTCAGCATCTCTCTCAGCATCTCTCTCTCTCTCTCAGCATCTCTCTCTCTCTCTCAGCATCTCTCTCTCTCAGCATCTCTCTCTCTCTCCAGCATCTCTCTCTCTCTCTCTCTCTCTCTCTCTCTCTCTCTCTCTCTCTGCACTGCCCCTCATCTCAATCTCCTATTTCAAAGGGTTATAAATCACTGTTTTAGGTTTGTTGATATAATGGTCATGGCAAACTTTGTTTTATATATTATTATTGGTCAATTTGATTTCATGATCTACATGTGAGCTATTATAGAGCAATGAAGTTCTGTTTGTTGTTGCTCTTTCTGTAATTTAAATGTTTTTAATGCATTCAGTTTGTGACATGTATGATGCACTTAATTATAACTAATAGCTAAGCCTTACTCTGAATTTTATTGTTTATTTTTTTCAATGCATTCAGTTTATTTGACCTGTATGGTGCACTTAATTATAACTCATCAATAGGCCTTCCTACAGTTTGTAATTTTCACTAACCTAGTGTGAATGACCAGAAGTTTCTTGTCTTGATAGTTTCTCATCTCACTGGAAGTTAAACAGGCCTTCCCTTTCTCTTGTATCACTCATAAACTCAATCACCATATTTTTCTAACCTTTCCCTGCTATTTTTACATGGTTGTTATTAGAAAATAAAAGGAATACCTGTGGTATTTCAAATTGGAAAAACGTGAAGAACTCACTTCTTTTGTAAATCACTTGTAATGATGAACTATTTTGTGCTTGAAATTATGGCTATAACTGGCCGTGGCCGAGTATACAGCCCATATGATTGATCCCGGCCCCTCAACACAGTCAGGAACGATAATGTGGCCCCCAGAGAAAAAAAGTTTGGGGACCCCTGCTATAAACAGTAAATGTGAAATATATCTTTAGTATGAAATGAATTTGGTATAGAAATAAATTCCCTGATCCAGATTATACATAATGTTTTAGCACTGGTTCGCAGCCATATGGAATTTTATTATTTTCAAAGACCTTCAGTGATCAAGATAGCACTCTTTATAGTTTACAGTCATGAAATCTGGAGATTGGTTTCAATATGTCCCTTTCAAAGAAGTAGTGGGCTTCAGTGGAAATGAGGCTGCAGGATTTACTGTTTAGAAACAGAGAGATGAAATGAATGGGCTCAGAACTTGTCAGATCGTCTCAACAACATACAACAGGCTCTTCAACACTTCTGATCCACTTTTGTGGATTATTTTCTCTCAAGAACTGCCTTCATCCTCATCATCACTGTTGGTAAAGGCAGTGAACGCGATTAGTGATGTGTTTTTTTTCCGCGGCTCTCCCGCGACTTCTCCCGCGTTTCCCGTGTTCCCCGTGGATGTCTACCCCCGCTACTTTCTCCCACATGCCCGGTGTTATGATGCCCCTGTCTCCTCGACCACGGCCCCTGCTTGGCGTTCACAGAATGCTTCTACCGCGGCCACACGGAGGACAAGCAGCCGCTGCACATGGGCTGATTGTGGACTTTATGGTGCGGTCTCCTCGTCATCAATAATGTCCGTGTCTGCTTCACTGGACACCTGCGTGTCTTCCTCCTCTGAATCTGAGTGAGCCAGTACCAGACCAAGTACTTCTCTGGTACTGAAGACCTCGTGAGTAAAATAAAAAACACTCTCTCCCTCTGCTCTGCTCTCGCTCCTCTCAGCTCTACTGCTGCTGATTCGCCTCCGCGCTGCTGCGCCGCAGGTGTTTTACGAACTCAATTTACTCTAAAACTTTCAATATAACCACACCCACAAATGTTGCTCATATTACAGGCACACATGTCCACTAACCCCTGGTAAAAAGTATGAACAAGATTCTGCACCTCATTTTTACATACAGCCTGTTTAAGTGAGCAATGTTGCTTGTCGCAATATTGCGACTTTGGCGCTTAAAGGGTTAATACATCAAGTTGATTTAATATTGCATTAACATTTACGGTCCCAACCAAATGAATTAATTACATTTGGACGTTGACAATTATGACCATTTCAGGCACTTGGAAAAAAATGAGGTTCAAAAAAACAATAAGTAGAAGCTAAAATGTATTAAGGCCTAAGCTTTAGTGTACTTTTATGTTAAACTTGAATAGCCGCTACACAAATAAAAACAAGACATTTACTCCAGAATAATTAACATTTTCTGCTCTCAGCATTCACAATCAACATATGTATGAATACTGTTCTTCTTGAGAAAAGTCTTAATGTGTTGTAGAGAGTTCTGCAGTCTTTTAAATCTACAGTCAAAACAGATTGAACGTCACACGCTAACATGTCAACGTTTTGTACTGCAGAGTCTCAACTACTTATCCAAACTGTCGATTATGTCTGAATGAATAATATTGGATCCATCTTCTGACATTTCAAGGACCACGCGATGGCACATAGTCAAAGAATGGTTCTACGACAATGGTTTTAAGTGAGTGATGGAGTTGTAAACTTACTGGCGCTGGAGAGCTTGTTTGATGGGGAATTTCTTGCCACAGTTTCTGCATTTGAACTCCTTCTCCTCCGAGCTGGGCCTCTGGTGCAGGCTCTGGAGGTGCGCAGCCAAAATGTCCTCACTGGGAAAGCTGCTCTCACACAGCAAACAGGGGTGGTCCTCCTTCTTTATGACCAGTTCTGCAAAATGTAGGTCGTAATGAAGCCACAGATCAAACATGGAAATCATTTCTCTGGCAGCATTACGAACAGACTTGAGCGAGTTTGTATTTAAAGTCACTACTATCCATTTTAGGAATATCAGGAACCATAAATTAGGGCTGTAATAATTCAACATTTTAGTGGCTGCATTTAGCCAGTGGCGAAAACTGCAATTATTTAGATTACATTATTTACTTTAGGGCGACAGTAGCTCAGTTGGTAGAGCATTGGTCTTAAGCCCAGAAGGTCGTGGGTTCAATTCCCACCTCTGCACCTTCTCCACCGACTCCCACTGATGACTGCTGTCGTTGTGTCCTTGGGCAAGACACTTAACCCCACTTTGCCCAAAGCCCCCACTGAAAGATCAAGGCTATGCTCACACTTAGAGCAGCCGTCCTCCTGTGGACTCACCACCTGCAGAGGGTCAGTGAGGGGCTGGTGCTATGAGACTTGGGTGACATCTCTGACTGCCACCCCCCTGACCCAGAAATGGATTAAAGGGTAGAAAATGGATGGATGGATGGATGGATTTACTTTACAAACAGCATCATGTTGATCATTATATACAAATCTCCCTGTGTTTAAAGCTCTGAAAGAGGCTTGGCAATACAAGGATCTTTCCAAATGTAACAAATATGTAATAATAATAAAATATTAGAATAAAAAAAAAAACTTTTCACTCTTTTATTTGCTATTGGAAAAGGCAAGTTCAGTTTTAAGCACAGTATGGTTTAAATGAGAATGTATTTGTTATTTCTCAAATTCATTCCTGTGTGAGATCAATAAAGCCTATCTTATCTTGTCTTCATCACAACAAATTACTTCAACTACAGAACAAAAATAAAGAAATCAAGTTTCAGTTTTCTCTCAAATTAATATTCTCCTATTGCACTTTGAAGATAATGTGTGTGTCATAACAGAAACTGAAATTGTAATTTACAGTGGTTAGCTGAAAAATCTATATTTCTTCAAAGTTGTGCAGCTCTACCATAATTGTCCATATCTGCTGTAACTACAGTATATACTGTACTTGCTCCTGTTGGCTCTGAGGTTTAAGAGAATTCTGTGGTAATAACAAGACTTACTGTACATGCAAGTTATAAGTAATGTGCACACAAAAAACTGAATTATATTTCTTTATAGTACAAAAGTATTGTGTACCCATCTCGACCACATGTTTGGGCTCTTTGCTGTTCTCATCTTCATCTTCAACATCCTCTTCCTCCTCTTCTTCTTCCTCTGCTTCCATGTCGCTGTCCAGAAAACCAATCAGGAGCTCAGTGTCTGTCTCTATGTCGTCCACAGCCAGGTAGAAGATGTTCTCTCCATCCTAAAGGCACAACAAAACACTCGTTTGGTTATCAGTTATTACATTATGTGTTTTCAATCTAAGTTATTGAGTTTGATGTTATGCTAGTAATTCTCTTTTTCAGATTAAATGATGGAATTGCAGTCTGCAGTTGACATCACACACTCACAAACAACAGCACATGCAGATCGAAATGTAAGCAAAACCAAAAAGCGACTTAACATTCAATATTATTCCATGATGAAGGAGTAGAAACCATTTTTTTAAATAGTTTTTATAGTTTCCCTTACCACCATTACCACCCCCACCTCCTGCTTGTACTGTAGGTAACACCTGTTTTCTCTACTTACCCGCATTTTCTTTGGCTTCTTTGTTAGGATGTTGTCAGATGCGGACACTCCATGTGTTTTGGTTAGCTCTGTTTTGCTAATATTGTTCGACATTGGCCTCAGAGAGGAACGAAAATAGTGCCGCTCATTTCCCCGCTCATTTTAATCACGAGAAGTGGGCAGTACTTGCAGCATGCTGTTGTGTTATTGTGCTCTTCCTGGGTTTAGTTTAATTTATTATTCCTTGTTTTTTTTGTTTTTTTTGACTATTTCATACAGAGAAGAAAAGTTTTGAATCTAAAGACTTTTCAGCCCAGCGAGTTAGGGTGAAGTTTGACTCTAAGAATGCTTAACCCTTTTACCAAAAATAAATTCAATACTAAATTGTAAATCGATTAAAGTGCAATAGTCTGTGTCTGAAGTCAGTGAGGGGAAAGAGAGCTGAGCATTCTGCTTCACTTTAAAGATATTATTTCCTCAGCTAAATGACAAACCAGGCCAATATGATCAAAGCATGAACATAAGAAGGCAGATTATAAACAGTTCTCATCAAAATGTTTGAACTGCGTCACGGAAACTAAACTTTATACAAAAAAGCACGGCACCATAAGTATTATTCAAGTTTTCACTATTACACATTGACACATTGATTGATGTGCAAAAGATTGAAAAGTTTAGCATCTTTGGCAGCAAACTGAGCAAAACAAGGAGAATAATGTATTTAAGAATAGCATTTTGGATCATACAGCTATGAAATCCATTTCTGCATAATGGCAAATCATTATGTCTGATTATGCCGAAACACTGATTCCTTTTTATGGACTTTTACAATAACTTAGTGTTTAGTTTGGCCCAATGTTGAACTCATTAGAGACCAAAAACAACGGTTGACTCAAACTGATTGAGGTCAGAGGCCAAAAGCTCAAACCGCTTAAATATGTTATCGTTAACTATGGCCTCCTTCTGGGTCACGCTAATAAAATCAACCCAGTGTTCGTGTTTTAGCAAAGGGATTCTAAATATACATAAATAATGATTACGAAGAGGAAAGCCGCACAATAAATGTCAGATTTGATAGAAGGCAGAGCTTAAAAACATACGGATGACCCCTAAACGACCAATCACTACGAACATTTTCAAATTAATAGCGTGGACTTCGCCCTTGGACCCCAAATGTTCAACTTTGCTTCAATTCGTCTGCGACATTTGTCATCTGCTTTGAGAACAATAATCCTTTTTATCTTTGGGAGCAGCAGACGTTACATTTTGCAGGAACGAGATGTGCGGGTGGAGCCGGTGGTGGATGTCAGTGCTGTGGTTAAGGCTTAAACTGAGATTTAGAGCTAGTTAGTGCGGGCCTGGACACTGTTGTTTACATAAAGCTGTCAATGACATACACCGGCATTTGTGAATCAAGTGGATAAAAGACTGGAACTATACAAATACCAACACTTTGTCATAAACACAGATATAGCACTTGTATATCTCGATGATGAAATGGCTACGTTTTTAGACGATATAGTTGACCCCATGTTTCAACAGTTGGAGTTCATACACACCGGGTCCACGGTCTAGAAATGTTGCATAATAACTTGGGCTGGGTCTTTTAATGGTTGTTGATACTTACCTCAATACATAGGTTGTGATATGATACTTAGGTACAGGGCACTTTCTACTCAATATGATGTATTTTTAAGATAAAACCAGAAAAACATTTATTGAAAATGGTTTGTCGGAAAATCTTCTTAGTCATGATAGAAGTATTTGGAATGTGTGCATATATGTTGGATTATAAAAGATCGAACCAAACTGTTTGTAGGCTACTTATTTTATGTAATTCACTAATTATTATAGATTATATGCATTTTTAAATCTGAAAGTTCAAAACATTATTTAATAATGTAGTAATTTAGTTTTTTTTTTTAAAAGGGCAATTATCTGCAATTCATTTGAGTCTATTAAATATGTGTTCTCAGATTTGCATTTTATTATTTGTAATATTTTTATACCTGGCCCAACTAAAAATGTACATTTTTGCAGATGCACCACTGTCATGCCTACTCAAAAGCTGGCTTACATGCTATTACTTCCCTGCGAAGAAACCAAGAAAAGCCTCAACAATCCTTCATCACAAGGAAAATATCTCCTAGAAGACAGAATGATGATTTGAAATACTTTCAAAGATACAATATCAAATTTAATAAACACAAACTAAGAACTTTTTTTTTACATTTCAACTGTTCTCTTGGCAGAATTGTACACAAATCTAGTCAGTCATTTTAAAGTTGTTTGTACGACTGTCGGTATAAAGCTACAAACCTACAGTAAAGACTACAAATACTCGAGTAGGAAACCCAGCTGAGCGCTCTTTCCTTTACTCTCACCACTAAACGCCTGTGTTCATTCCCAGTGAATCAACCCTTTCTAAAAATGAAAGATGTCTTTTCCCTTTCAGGACAATTTGCCGCTCGTTTAAGGAGTCATTGTCCAGCGAAAAGAAAATATACCTGAATAGCAGCCAAGTTCTTCTGCTCTTGAGAAGGCGCCTGGTGGACGAACCTCAGCCAGTTGGCATAACGTGGGTTACTGGCGTCCAAAATATACAGAACATCTCCTTTGCTGCCGCGGACCTGAGGAAACAGAGGAGTATCGGCTTACCCACATGGCTCCTTTGTCCCGTTACATCAAAGTGTCTGGCTTCTACACATTAGCACCTCATCATCTGGACCGAGCAGAGCCGCACAATGTGGTCGCTACAGATAACTACATCATAGGCTTTGTCTTCACACAAGTAGGAATTAAACATGTCTTCATCTATTTAAACCTGCATTTGTTCTGCATCTTATTGTAGAATTCAAATGAAGGAGTGAACCGAAGAATGTAAGTGTATTTTACAGGCAATCTGCAACGTCGGATGTCTCAGTTGTATAAATACTGTAGAGGCAAACTCCAGCCTGCCTCAATAACACACAACAATAAATACATCTTTACAACAGTTGATCAAAAAGAATGAAATATCACAGTATTCATTGGTCACTTTGTATGTATTCACTACTTACAATATTGTACATTGAAATGAGCACTATATCAGTTTTGACTCAATGCTCTACGCCAGAGTCAGGAACCAGTGGCTCTTTTGATGATTGCGTCTCTCATACAGATCTTAGTGGTCATTAATGGTAAGAATACATTTTTCTTCAGTATACAAATTTTGATAAACAAAAAGAATACATTGGGAGATTGATATTACACTATATTTATGCTGATATTGTTTTGAAAGATCACACATATCCACAGTTTTACTTTGTACATGTATTTATAAGTATTTTATGCTGTTTGCTTTTATTATTTTTTTATCTTTCATGCCTGTGAAGCACTTTGGGCAGCTGTAAATGTGCTATACAAATAAATCTGACCTTGACCTTGACGGTAGAATAAATGTATGGCTCCCTAAGAAATAAATTCTATTATATGGCTAAAAAGGTTCTCAAACTCTGTCTACGCCTTGCACTCTGGATTGGGTCTTGCATCTATCAGTTATTGTTTTTTGACGTCCAAAAAAAATAATTGCTTTGTTGCCAGGTTGGTTGCAAACTTTCATTTACAACTTACATTTTAATCATGGAGCTCAAGTGAAAGTTCAGACGCCTTGAGCCTTCACCATCACTATATAAATGTACAACCCAATTCAGGCCACTCCTCACTTCTGTCGGCTCTCGGCTCCTCACCTTGCATGTCACCTGCTGATGTCATCCCATCCCCTTTATGCCTCTCCTCCCTGCTCTCCATCATCCTATCTCTGCACAGTCTCAAATGCATGCATTAAAGCTAGGGTACCTAACTTTAAAAACACAAAATATCCAACACAGTAATACATTTGATCTCACTGGCTCTTGGTTCTATCAATAGTTTTCCAATGCATGTACATGTTGGGGTCTGTGATATCTTTAGATCCGTTTTTTCATGTCTGAAAAAGCTGATCTAATTAAAAAAATAAGTGAAAAAGAGAGGAACATTCTGCCTCAGTCATTCAGATTCAAAGGGATTTTCCTCTCTACTGTGTAAAAGATAATAGATATTTCTATTGGGTCCAACATACACTATTATTGATTGTTTAAAGTTAGGTACCCCAGCTTTACCTGTACCATTTGTGTCTAGATCCTGATTTCAACCTATCCTGGCCACATATCACACTCCTCTGACCTTTTCCAAAATGATCCATTATTCTCGCACTCATTGCCTGCACCTAAATGGAAAATTTCCCAATCTGAACTATATACTTCTTGACAACGTTAATCGAGAAAGTCAAACTTCCTTACATCTTCTTTAACTGTTGCACTATAAAGAGTTGGTGTTTGTAGAATGGGGTGTGTACCTCCCACATCAGCCTTGTGTCTGAGCTCTCATCCAGTTCACTCGGCAGCTTCTTCTCCCCAGCAAACGGACCAAACTTTTCTCCCTTTAAAAGATTCACCAACACAACTTAAACACACTTTTGAATGACTTTTCACAACCTCAACAAAACATCAGCACTGATACGAGCAGAGTGTGTGCTTCCTTTTTACAATAAGAATAAATCTGTGTGTTTTTTTCTCCCATTGGGCTTCGAGGAGTTCCTAGAGTCAGGGGGTGTGGCTTGAATATGTTTTATTGTAGCTTACCCGTGCTGTATTGTCATTGTAGTTGATGGCTGCAGGTTGGATACGTATTGCAGTAGTGTGATGTGATGTTGCCAATAACTTTAAATTAAACGCAGGATAAATCACAGCAGGGCAGTATATACTCATAACCACTATCGATAAAGATACATGACGTGGGATTTGTCACGTTTTAAGGGCTGGAACGATAGGGTGACAAATGCAAAGAGTGTGAATTATATCCTAGATGGAACCAGCGAACCCCTTGATCAGGCGTGAGGAGGTCTGTGCTGTAACCCACTGTAGCTACGTGGCACTTCACGTCACCCCCGGGGCTTCTCTCTCATGGTTCTTTGGACAACTAAAACAGGACGCCTTTGCATAAACGCAGCAAAGTGAACGTAAATGGAGTCGTGCAAAGTTTTCCAGACGGGAAAGTGCAAGAAAGGTGTGGGAGCAGACGGCAAAAACAAACAAACCTTTTTCACTCGCCGCGCTGTGTACAGACCGATTCCATCCTGGACCCTAGACGATTTGAGGGAAAATCTATCTGGCACGTACATACCCAACATTGTCATTTCTGCCTCCTAAACAGTGACATGCACGGAGTTTAGCGAGGGGTAGCGGGGGTAAAGCGGCATTGACAATATGATTTAAAGCAGGAGAATGTTCGCGGAGAGGTCCAGGTTCAACTTCTGTGTCTTCTTGCAGCAGGAAAAGCAGCTGCGTTCTGATTGGTCCAAAGTTTGTTACTGGAAGCAGCGTTGGGTGCCACGCTGCCTGTCACTGCACTCAGCTGGGGCCGCTGGACTGCGACTAATGGGCTACTTGTTGTCACATGTAACTAAACACTTTTGGCAAGCAGTTATTCAAGCATTGGTTAGAAATGAAAATGAAGAAAATTGCATATTGGCAATTGGAGCGCGTACTTTTTTGAAACAAGGATATACCGAAGATTTCTGCTGCGAGTTAATTGTCTTTACGTTTAAGATTAAGAGATCCTTTATTCCTCCCATAGTGGGGAAATTTCAGTGTTGCATCACAAGTTATAGAGCAGTAGGAATGAGCAGCACACAGCACAAGATAAGTGAACAATGCCTATACTATACTAAAACAAAAGCTGTAACTCTATATCAATGACAAATGAAATCTATATCTATAAAGTTTTGCATCAATCTGAATCAAATACCATCATAATTGTTGTCTTTATAGAATTCTGAACACAATTATTGTCTCCTACCAAGAGTATGCATATATATATCTGTCTATATTAAACTTTCTTAATTATTCGTTTGATTTCCAGAATTATTTTACTATTATTGTAAGTAGCAGGAAGTCGAAAGTAGGTCTTTGGCTAATGGTGAAAACAAGTGATAAAAGTAAAAGAATAGATATAAAGGCATGCATAAAAAGTCTTCATTACAATATTTATAGTGCATACAAAGTACAGACAATAAACATTTAAAGTATAGTAAAGATCAACTCATCATTAATCTTACTTCTGGCAAAAGGAAGGAACATTATGAAACTCTTTATGATATCATACAAAGGCGTTGTGCATACGTTGCAAAGCAATTAGCGGCGTTTAGATGGCTACTGAAAACAATGTAGTTCTAGCATCCGGCCACTAGTTGGCTGTGTAACTTTACAACACGGCACACGCGACCCCCAGCCCCAACAGCAGTATAATCACTTCCTCAACATCATCCTCCTCAGGCCACTGAAAATACGTGAAAGAATGCACCAACATAATTCTGCATTTAACAGCAGCTGCGAAAATGGAAACTGAAACCTGAGCTTTGCATGGTTTCGATTAGATGAATGAAGGAGTAGCAGTGTCCCTGACAAGTAAAGTTTACTTGAAAAAACCATGGAAATAAATTGCGTATTAACTTCACTTGAATTCCTCGAGTACATCGTTTACTTGATATTACCAAGTAAACTCAAGTGATTTCAATAAAGTTTAAATTTGTACTTATGATCTGACCGGGATTTGTACTCAGAACCCTGTGGTTGAGAGGCAATGGTGCTACCCACTCAGCCACCAGGCCACCCTGCCATTGTCACACCTGCCTCATTAAAGACTCTACACATCAAAATGTCAAAAGTGAGGTTTACCTGAACAGAAACAGTTCAATTCAAAGAAAACCCTGAGTGACATAGGCAAGCTTTAAATAAACTAACAATAAATGAGTAATATTCACTTACTGGGAAAAATCTATTTAAAATAACTTTGATATCTGAAGTAGGATTGAAGTTAGGGTTTACAGTGATAGCGCTCGAAGCCCATGTAGATAGATAGTGTATGTGGGAAAGTGGACTTTTAAAAAGGACTTTTAACTGCTTTTATTTTTGTGATGTGTTTTGTGTGTTTTTATGGTTTTAATGCATGCATTTTATCACTGTTCCCTGGACACTTCCCCTAACCCGCACCTGTTTTAATCAAGACCTTTTAATTGGGGGCGGGCACTGCAGGACGAGAGGAGAGAGAGAGGAGAGAGAGAGGAAGAGAGACGGAGCAGTCCAGAGGAGGAGGACACGGGACCGGGCCAAGGACGAGCACCGCCAGCCAGAGACCACGGGGCACTGAGGCCAGCGGGGAGAGCGGCACCGGTGAGGCGCGCATTGATAGCGCATTGGCGCGTGCGCGCCCGGGCTAGGCCCACCGAAAGACCGGGATGTGCCGGTGTTCTGTCGAGTTGGTCTGCCCGTCGAGATGATCTGCCCCAGCTGTTAATGATGTCAGCTTGCTCCCTCCCTCCCCTCCACTCCTCACTGTGTTTCCGACTCACCCCCCTCCCTGACCCCGCCCCCCTCTGACAGCCACATTGGGCCGGCTGTAGGAGGTGCTTCATCCCGAGAAGAAATCCGTGCTTTATACAAGGCACAATGTGTCTATCCAACTGTCTGTGAAATTGTATGTTATTGCTCTCTGCTGTTTATTCTACTGTTTGTCGCATGGCGCCGTAAAGATGGCGCCGTGGCAAGAGCTCTGGTGTGTGTCGTCTCCTCTGTCTGGTGCACACTGGGGTAGTCTTGCACAGTTTTTCCAATGTGGTTTTACTGCAAATGGCAAATAAATGAATCTGATCTGATGTCATGCAAACCAGCGCTGCGGTCTCACGGCAGCCAAAGCAATCCAAAATGGCGGACATGTAGTCCGCAAATTGCTTTAAAAGTTAAATATGAACGAATTAAGACACAAAGGTCACTTTTAGGGAAATTTCGGCGAGATGTTGATAGTTAGAGATAGAGTAAGAGTTTCGTGTAAATTTTGTTTTAAGCAGTCCACTGCTCCTATGAAACTAAACTGCTAGTGTGCCCAAATCTGATTTGCGCATGCGCAGAAACCCGCCAGAATGGGGAAAAAACTCGATCTAATTAAATATTTTGTTTGAACACACTATTGTTAAATCATATTGAATACAATATGATACATGCATAAAATTAAATTTATTATTTCCATTATCAACCCGACAGACCAGTCATGGGCCTGACGTATGCAGCAGTCAACTCAGGGACTGCTATCATAACAGCAGCAGTGTAGTTTCACAACAAACTTTACACGAAACTCTTACTCTTAAAACACACATATCACAACTAGGAACCATCAACATCTCGCCTCAAATTGCATTAAAAGTGACATTTGTGTCTTAACTCGTTTGTATTTAACTTTTAAAGCAATTTGCGGACTCCATGTCCGCCATCTTGGTTTGCTTCGGCTGCCGTGAGACGCGCATGCGCAGGTTTGCATTACATCATTAACAGCTGACCCAGATCACACCGGCTCTCCCCCGCGGGTCCCCGGTGGCGACCCGTGGTCGGCGAGCGGCTGGCGGGACTGCGGCCCGGTCCCTGGACTGAGAAGAGCGGAGGCCAGAGGAGGAGGAACGAGTGGACTGCGGGTTTTTTTAATCATCTTTTATGGATCCTTTTTATATATATTTATTCCATTTTATCCCCTTTTTATCCCCTTCTGCTTTTTATTGATCACACCCCCTCAACAGACACTTTTAAACCTGTGACATGTACACGGCGCCATTGTTTTTTGTACGTGCGGGGGTGTGGAGGTCAGAGCAGGCAGAGAATTCACACCTTTTTCTTCATACGGCTGTGAAACAGCCCCCGCTGAGCAGCGTATCAGTTCTGTTCCACTCTAGAGGCTTGTGTTTTCACCTATAAAGGGAAGGCCAGACCGATACCCAACTCTACCGTTTTATTGTCGCAGCGCCTACGGAACAACAGGGCTTAGATATAAAGGAACCCATTTTGCCCCTAAAACGCACAACGAGTTTGAATACCACGCCTTTACGTTCATTTATTGAACAATTAGGCTCAAGATTGCTTTTACTTTTCCCATTCTGAGAAAGAGTAACCAATAAGGGTGCTTAACTAGTTTGTATCAGTTCATTCAAAGTCTTGCTAAACCTATTATTTCTTGCTAGTTGCCAAGAAATAATAGGTTTGTTGATGTAAATGACTTTATCATAGTCTTGCATGAATGTGTTTATCACGACATGGAAAAACACCAATGTAATGAAAATGTTTGGAGTTAATTGAAGTTAGAGACTCAAACCTAACATTATCCTACATCCTGTCATCTCCATCTGGCTTCACCTTGATTTGTTGACTTTCACTCAGCGCCACAAGATTAGATCATGTCTCATCACTGCCTGTTTGTGCACTCTGTGTATTTGAACACCTCTCCAGAAAATATCTTTCCCCTTTAATCAGCCTTGCACCAGAGTTGCCGTGGCTTTGTTTACTGTGTCTTCAGCTCGTGTTTATGCCTACAACTTCCTGTTTGCATGTTGGGTTTGGCCCTGATTGGTTGATAGCAGGGCAGTTGTTTGGGGGATTACAGTGAAGGATGAATTATGATGGACATGTTTAGCTGAAAGTCAATGGGCTGGTCCATGTATCTGTCTGTGCCAGTGTTTCCCGACTCCTCTTCAGACGTTGGAATAAGTAACTGTTGTGAATGAGACGTCATGTAGAATCTGACCTGCACAATTATGTAATAGAACTAAGTGACATCACCACAGACGGTACGACATCGCCAATCTGATATGGACATTTACATCACGACTCCTCATTCATTCCTCTTCTTCTCAGGGTTTGAGTGTTCCGAGTTTGGATGTGTATATTGTTTATGTATTCTGCACTCCAAATATGACTCAAGAACACATGGTAATTGCAAATCAGATCTATACAGGACAGCACAGTGGCTGAGTGGATAACACTCAGCAAGAAGGTCCTGGGTTCGAATCAGAGGTTTTCCAAGTGGAGTTTGCATGTTCTCCCTGTGTCTGTGTAGGTAATCCCTTTCACAGTTTGATTTGCAAATGACCTCAACACACTATAAGGCCCCAAACAATTTCTACTCTTGTGTCTTTTTGTAGCAATTTTTTTGTTTTATCTTATAGTTTTATTTGTTTATCAAAATTCAGTTATGAACAAAAACTTCTGTAACAAGAGAAGCATACAGATTTTGAAATGGGTGGAACATTTTCACTCTGGGTGTTAATCTTCTGACTGATTAAGAGTGTGAAGAAGTGTCTGTAGCCTTCACAAAAGT